AGCAGGGATCTCAGTTTAAGCCCAGCCTGAGCCTCAGTAGGAGGGCTCTGGGGCAAGAACCCACACTGGTTGTCCCTCTTTAAAGCGAAGGGCCTGGACTCCTAACGCCCTGTTAGCCATTGGCTGTGAACTGGCGCAGGGTGGGCACAGCTTCCTGATAAGGTGCCTCTCGGCAGCTGACGACACTCTTCTGGAGAAGGGGACAGGTGTGAGCACTCAGCTCGGCCTTCTCAGCGGCTCACACAGATGGGCTGTGTGAAGACAGCTGGGCAGGCCTCGCGGCGTGAGAATTAAAAATGCCTGTAGCCTTGATCCACCCATCCCTCTTTCAGGGGTTTTTCCTCTGGATGCCCCCGCACACGTGGGAAATCATGTATTTACTCAGGTGGGAAGGGCAGTGATAGCAAAAACCTAGAAAAAAAAAAAAGCCTGGAGACTCAAGTTTTCACTGAATACTCTTTGGTACCTTTAAAAATTTTGTACCGTGTGCGTCTGCTATATAGTCAAATAAAGATAAAATAATTCACTTTTAAACAATTCTGTATCTGCTATTTACTAGGTAAGTGATGCCGGGCGTTAGCCTCAGTTTCCTTATCTGTACACTGCAGGTGATAGTGCCTTCACGTCCTAGAATTGCAGATATTAAACATGGTAATGCATAGAAATCACTTAGTATAATGCCTGCCTGCTGAGTAATCAGTAACTATTAGCTGCTGCTATTAATATTATCATCTGTGTTATCATGGTTTATTGCCTTGCAGGGTAATTGTGGGGATGAACTAAAATAATGTGTATTTTATACATCAGCACAGTGCCTGGCACATAGGAGGTGTGTATGTTTCTTTTTCACACAGGGCAAATAAATATATGTATATATATACACACACATACACACACATATACATACATGTATATTATGTGTGTGTGTGTATATATATATATGTACCAGTTCAAATATATATATGTATATGTATATATATGTGCATCTTTTTTAAGGGAATTGGGATCAGGTTTTGCAACCTGATTTTCTTCCTTAAAACATTTTAAATGTCTTTCCTGTAACATTAATTATCAGGATCGTTGCACAGTGATGCTGGTAGAGCAGCATTGCACCCTGGGAGGGAGGTGAGGGTTCACGGGTTGTAAAGGCAGGTGTAGTCTGCCTGTGTCTTGGCGTCATGAACTGGTAGGATGTCAAGTCCCTTGCTAGCTCTGAGCCATTAGACTGGCTACTTCAACTCCGAGCCTTCATACCTGAAGCATTCTCTGGAGGATTAGAAATAACTTAAAGCGACAAATCCTAGGGGTGCCTGGGTAGCTCAGTCAGTTAAGCATCCGACTTCAGCTCAGTCATGATCTCACGGTTCGTGAGTTCGAGCCCCGTGTCAGGCTCTGTGCCTACACCTCAGAGCCTGGAGCCTGCTTCAGATTCTGTGTCTCCTTGTCTCTGCTCCTCCCCTGCTCATGCTCTGTGTCTCTCTCTCCCTCCCTCCCTCTCTCCCTCTCAAAAGTACATAAACATTAAAAAAAATTAAAGAGGGGCGCCTGGGTGGCGCAGTCGGTTAAGCGTCCGACTTCAGCCAGGTCACGATCTCACGGTCCGTGAGTTCGAGCCCCGCGTCAGGCTCTGGGCTGATGGCTCGGAGCCTGGAGCCTGTTTCCGATTCTGTGTCTCCCTCTCTCTCTGCCCCTCCCCCGTTCATGCTCTGTCTCTCTCTGTCCCAAAAATAAAAATAAACGTTGAAAAAAAAATTTAAAAAAAAAAAAAAATTAAAGAGAATTGCTCAAGTAGTAATAGTAACAGTAGTGATAATATCACATCATATTTTACAAAGCTTTCCAATGCCTCATAAATAATAATATAGAAACAAGCTTACGCAATAGAATTATGATTATAATCAATAGATGTAATAATAATTATGAATAATTATTTTTCAAATGCAGCTGCTCCATATGTAATTACAAAAGCATGAACCATGGTATTAAAGTTTGGTATACATTTACAAGGGCAAGAGAAAGTTGAGGTTTTAGTAGAGCAGAAAAGCGCTAGCTTTGAAAATGAAATCGGAAACCAGGAAAAGAGGTTCAACTTCCCCAGTAATCAGGAGTGATTACTGAATGTAGATTAACTGTCAAATGCAAAGTGAAACAGTGCAATGCAACTTCTCGCCCATCATATTGGCAACAGTGTTATTCGGATGATTATCCAGGGTTCGTGAGAATGTGAGAGCGCTCTGGTGCCCAGTGTGAATTGGTGCAGCACTTGGGAGGACAATTTGGCAACATTCTCAGGAGATAAAAATGTGCTATGCCATGCATCGTCTCTGGATCTGCCCTAGGGCAACACGCTTCCACAAAGAGGCGTGAACTGACAGGTTCATTGCCAAGTCCGCTGTGAGCAGCACACGATGGGAGACCGCGATCATCTGGGGACTGATTTAAAAAATTGTGACTCTTGAAAAAATTAAATTTTTTTTTTCAACGTTTATTTATTTTTGGGACAGAGAGAGACAGAGCATGAACGGGGGAGGGGCAGAGAGAGAGGGAGACACAGAATCGGAAACAGGCTCCAGGCTCCGAGCCATCAGCCCAGAGCCTGACGGCCTGACGCGGGGCTCGAACTCCCGGACCGCGAGATCGTGATCTGGCTGAAGTCGGACGCTTAACCGACTGCGCCACCCAGGTGCCCCTCTTGAAAAAATTAAAATGTAATTCACATACTGTAAACTTCACAGTTTTAGGGTGTACAGTTCAGTGTTTTCAGTATGCTCACAGGGCTGCGCGACATCACCGCTGTCTAATTACAGAACGTTTTCATCGCTGCAAAAAGAAACCCTCTACCTACCTACTAGCAGTCACTTCCCATTTCCTCCTTTCCTCCTACCCTGGCAACCTCCGTCCTGCTTCCTGTCTCTGTAGATTTGCCTAATTCCACACATTTTGTATCAGTGGACTTGTACAATCTGTAGCCTCTCTTTTAATGTAACAGGTTTATTGAGATATATAATTCACATATGAGTTACCCATTTAAAATGTACTCTCCAATGGGTTTTAGTATATTTGCAGAGTTGTGCAACCGTCGCCACAATCGATTGTAGACATTTTCATCACCCCAAAAAGAAACCCTATTCCCTTTAGCTATCACCGCCAAGCCCCTCTTCCCCAGCCCAAGACAATCATTTCTATCTCTATAAATTTGCCTACCCTGCATATTTCATATAAATGCGTCATAAAATACATGTCTTTTGTGCCTGGCTTCTTTCACTTAGCATTTTTTTTTTATTTTTTTTTTTAACTTTTATTCATTTTTGACAGACAGAAAGAGACAGAGCACGAGGAAGGAAAGGGCAGAGGGAGGGAGACACAGAATCCGAGCTGTCAGCACAGAGCCCGATGCAGGGCTCGAACCCACGAACCGTGAGATCATGACCTGAGCCGAAGTTGGACACAACCGACTGAGCCACCCAAACACCCCAAATGTTTATTTTTGAGAGAGGGAGACACAGAGTGTGAGCAAGGGAGGGGCAGAAGGAGGAAGACACAGAATCTGAAGCAGGCTCCAGGCTCTGAGCTGTCAACACAGAGCCCAACGCGGGGCTTGAACTCACGGACTGTGAGATCATGACCTGAGCCAAAGTCGGATGCTCAACCGACTGAGCCACCCAGGTGCCCCATCACTTAGCATGTTTTCAAGATTCATCCACCTTGTAGCATGGATCTCTCTGCCTCTCTGTCTCTCTGTCTCTCTCTCAAAAACAAACGTTAAAAAAAGAAGTCCTTAAAATGTATACAAAATTTGGAAAGATAAGAAATAAAAAGCAGCTGGGGAACCCTGGAGAGGTTAGAATGAGTGCTTTCATGCCACCCGGAAAGTTGAATTGGGCAACTTGTGTTTTGAAAATAGGTTCATTGGCTCCCTTTACAGCTCAGATCTATTTTGTCTTCGTCTATCTTTTGAAGTAATTTTGTTACTGTCTTAATAATATGTACCAGTTCAAATAGTAGAGAGGCTGATAAAGTTAAAGTTGCTTATCTCCTCTCTTCACCTGAAACCCCTCCCCCACAGCAATGAGTGTTAGTGCAATTCCTTTTCCCGATAAACTTCTCTGTTTAGTATTGTCTTCTCGCCCCACCTCACAAAGTGTGTTTCTTCAGCTTTCTGTTGTCGACGTGGAAAAGCTCCTTCCTCTGCAGGGGGAACTAGGTCTTTGTCTTTAAGCGTGGACAGTGGTCTTCAGGCTTGCTTCTACCAGAGATTGTGATTTAGGAGGTCTGGAGTGCTGCTCAGGTGTCTTTTTTATAAAAAGCTCCCATGGTGATTCTAGGGAGTCGACAGGGTTAAAAATCATTTATCTAGTGAGTAACAGAGCAATCTTAAATTGTACCCGTGATGCTTCTTTGAGAATTATTTTTGGTAGGTTCTTTATGAGAGAGTAATGAGCCTGTCAGCCTTAAGGAAACACGCCTGAACTTAGATGGTCTGTTGTGTTCCAGGAATTTCACAGAATTTTTACTTTAGGTTATTTTTAGCATCGGGGTTTTATCTCTAACGAAATGCTCTACATAGAGCTGCCATCTGAGTCTAAGAAAGTGATCTGGGATTCTTTTTTGAAAATGGTAGGAAAAGCAGCATAAGGCAAACTTAGCATGTAAGCTTTCGGTCGTTTCACATTGAAAATGGGGGGGGATGTAGCAAACCGACAGGCGGAAAGACTGTCCTTGGGTCTGGTTTTGTCAAGCTTTCCGTTTCCCCAGCTGCACCCCCGCCCCTAGATTGTCCTTGACTTCATTACGGTATGTTTACCTGAGATGCAAATGAGAGAAACTTGTGACTGAGAACGTCACACTGATTTCCATTCTTATGTTTTCAGACATAAAAGTTGCAGAAATCCATAAAAGCTATTTAAAGACATAATAATCAGATTCTCTAGGATGATAATAAACCTGAGTAATCTTTCTCATATCTTAAATTATGTTCAACTTTACATTTTCTCTTCCAGGTATTCTCATGGGAGCAGTTATAAAAATTATAGAGTTTAAAAAATTGGCAAATTGGAAGGTAGGTTTACCCAACTTACGATTTTTATTGATTATCTTTAATTTTAGTAACACTGATGGTTAGTTACGGTGGCTTATCATTGCTTCACTATGAGGGAAGTTTATATTGTCCCATGAATTTTTTAACGTTCTGTTGGATTAGGGTTGATATTATTACATCGGACTTTTCTGAAAAAGTATAAATCTCACAGTTTCAAGTTAACATAAGGAGCACTCAGTGTCAGATTTTGTTATTTATTTGCATTTTTATAACCTTAGACTAACCTGCTCTCTGGGGGAAAGTCTCTAATTAGCATAAAACATTTATCAGTGGTTACCGCTGACAGTGGAAGATAAAATGTATTTGTCCAGCACCAGAGTTTACAGTATGCTTTATACACTGTAGCTCATGTTGTCCTCATGACAACCACATGATGTAGATGACCACATTCTGTCATCACTCTGGTATTACAGATAAAGAAAGCGACCACAGAGAGGTTGAGACACGTCCAACATCACAGAGCTAGAAAGTAGTTGAGCCTTCTGTCCAGCCCCGCTGGCCCTGTGTGTTCTCTGTTCTCCGCCATACTGTGCTGTCCTCAGGGTGTGGGTGTTCATACCCTCGTGTTCACACAGTGGGTAGAGCGTGAGCATCATCTTGTGGTACAAGGACTAAGTGAAACCCGAACTTAAATGTGTGTACATCCATATTAAGTACTGAGATTAAAAAGTATGTGACGGAATTGATTTTGAGGAGAGGAATAAGGTTCATTTGAAAAGATTAAAGAGTTATGTGGCTCCACTTCATCACATTCAAACTCTTCCTATTTTGATTCTGCTTCTAGGTGCTAGGATTCATTTACCTGTGAAACTGTAGAGTGTAAAATGTGCAAAACAAGTCGCACACTCTGACCTAACACACAATTTGAAACTGTTATAAATAATACTTAGGAAATATTGTATGTATTAAATGGAATCTCAAAATCTATGTTGAGCTCCTGCTATTACAGAACTGCCCTGAGCTGGGGAAGGGACTGGGCAGGCCTCACTAGAGCCCACTGTGAATCACATCTCTGCCCTCCTACAACTGTTTAAATTGAGTCACCCTCACAAGTGGCTCATTCTAGGGCAGGGGACACAGACTGTAACCCTTAACCCTACTCCTAGATACAGCCTGATGTGTTTTGATTGTGTTTGATTTAAAATCAGTTGCTCAAAATTGGAATTGACTTTTAAACAATTAAAAAGCATTAGTTTTATTTTAAAATATTTTCTATCTATATAACTTACTGGGAATTTCACATAGAAACCTGAATCTCGAGCTTCTCTTGAAGAAGCAGAAACTTTTTTTTTTTTTTTTTGGAACTTATATCTGTTATTTAAATTTATTTTATGTTTAATACATTTATTTAAATTCAAGTTAGTTAACATACAGTGTAGTACTGGTTTCAGGAGTAGAACCCAGAGATTCATCACTTACATAGAACACCCAGTGCTCCTCCCAGCAAGTGGCCTCCTTAATGCCCATCACCCATCCAGCCCCATCCCCCAACCCACCTCCAGAAACTCTCTTAGCACCAGGCCCACATTCCACCCTGCAGAGATCCAGCAGCTGCCCCTTCCGGAAGTGCTGTGTGGCCAGGGAGGCCTGGGAGATGGTGGCCCCTGTTCGGAGTGGTGGGAACAGAGGTGGTGGGGGGAGATCGTCTTCCACTTTTGAGTTTTATATGCTTCGGTTTTGTTGAATTTATTGTTCAATAGATGTTACTTTTCAAGTTAAATAATAGTAATATATTTAATAGTACAGGCAAGTGAACCAGAGTTGGGTAGTGAAGGTAATGGAGTGCCTAAAGGGCCTTCCAGGCAGCCTGGGCTTGACCTCAGAGAAGGGGTCTGTCAGGCCCTCTGATAGATGGGGCAGGCTTCCTGGAGGAACAGGTGTTTGTGGAAAGCCAAAGCAGGAAGCAGGACACCTGTTTGGAAACCAGGTGCTGCCGGGAGCAAGATAAGAAAAACAAGGAGCTTGGTGTTCATTCCGTGGAGTTCTTTTGCCAGACTGTCCTGCTGGGCCTGCCTTCCGCCTGTGTTATCGTGTACTTACATATTTATTTCTTGAAAGCAACTTGCTTTTTTTATGTGTACACATTTTCTTTTCTTTTTTTTAATTTTTTTTTCAACATTTATTTATTTTTGGGACAGAGAGAGACAGAGCATGAACGGGCGAGGGGCAGAGAGAGAGGGAGACACAGAATCGGAAACAGGCTCCAGGCTCCGAGCCATCAGCCCAGAGCCCGACGCGGGGCTCGAAGTCACGGACCGCGAGATCATGACCTGGCTGAAGTCGGACGCTTAACCGACTGCGCCACCCAGGCGCCCCTACATTTTCTTGTAGTAGTTTTTTTTTTTAAGGCTTTTGTTGTGGTAAAATATACATAACATAGGGGTGCCCAAGTGGCTCAGTATGTTAAGTGGTTAACCTACTGACTCTTGATCTCTCACAGTTTGGTTAGTGGGATTGAGCCCCAAGCCCCCTAGGCTCTGCGCTGACAGCTGGAGCCTGCTTGGGAGTCTTTCTCTCTCTCTGCCCCTCCCTGTCTCTCTCTGTCTCTGTCTCTCTGTCTCTCTCTCTCCCTCCCTCTCAAAATAATAAATAAGCATTTAAAACTATATATATATACATAACGTAAAATAGCGTTTTAGTTATTTTTAAGTGTACATTTCACTGGGGTTAAATACCATTCACAGTGTTGTATACTCATCGCATTATCTATTTCCAGAACTGTTTCATCATCCCAGACAGAAAGTCGACCCAGTAAACAGCTCCCCAGTCCCCCCGCCCCACAGTCTGTTCTGGTTTCTGGTTTTTTTTCGTATTTTCTGTTGTTTTCGTAGCCCCCTATTCTACTTTCTGGCTTTATGAATTGACCGATTCTAGGTACTTTATATAAGTGGAATCATACATTTGTCCTTTTGTGTCTGGTTTATTTTACTTAGTGTGATGTTTTGAAGATTCATTCATACTGTAGTTTGTGTCAGAATTTCCTTCCTTTTTGTGGCTGAATAATATAGACGGCTCTTTGTCAATCCATTCATCTGTTGATGGACCGTTGGGTTGTTTCTCCCTTTTGGCTCCTGTGAATAATGTTGTGAATACTGGTGTGCTACATATGTTTATCTTAAAGGAAACATTATAATGCTGTGGAAACCAATATTTTTATAAATAAATATGATAAAAACAAAGGAGTAGAGATGCCTGCTGAAGCCCCTGAGATCAAGCCCGTTCTGTCAGAAAGGGAGATCAGCACATTGGAGAGAGGCTTTACTGCCTATGACACCAAACTGTGGTGTCTTTGACTTAATTGAGACCAGAAAATGAATCAAAAAGAGCGGACTTTCTCAGTCTGGGGGGATCAGTGGTATATGGCATACACTGCCCAAGTATCACCTAAAATCACCTTATACCATTTGCGGGGACGAGTTGCCAAAAAGAACCTGCGATCTTTCTGTAACACTATTCACTGCACGCCGGTACATGCATTTCCTGTGGCTACGATAACAAATGACCAAAACTGGTTGGCTGAAGACCCCAGAGAGTTATTCTGGGTTGTAGAGGCCAGAAATCTGAAATCAGGATGTTGGCAGGGCCGTGTTCCCTCTGGGAGCAAATCCAGGTGGTAGGAGAGAATCCTTCATTGGCTTTGTAGCTTCTGGTGGTCCCAAGTATTCCTTGGCTATGGCAACATAACCCCTTTCTCCTCTGTCTTCACCTGTCCTTTGTGTCTGTGTGTCCTTTCCTGTCTCTTATAAGGACACTCTCATTGGGTTTAGGGCCCACCCATCCAGTGTGATCTCATCTGGATTCTTCCCTTAATTACATCTGCAAGGACCCTCTTTGCAAAGAAAGTCACATTCTGGGGTTCCAGGTAGACATGAATTAAGGCTGGAGGACCCTGTGCAACCCACTGCAGGTGGGTTCTATACAGTGGTCCCCTGCACAGATCCTGAGAATAGGTTGCCCCACAAAACACAGGTCGGCCCATTTCTTTTCACATGGTCCCAGTCTGAGGCATGAGCTTGTTGCACAGGCAGCTATTTTAAGACTTAATAAGGCATTTTCAGCAGCCATCATTTGCTTCTAGTTTGAGCCTTTGAATGTTGTTTTAGGCTTTATGGCCACAGCTGTACATTTGTAAGAATACACTTAACCATTCTTCTGAATAGGGATTTTGACAAGAAATCAGACTGTCAAGACTGTAGCATGAAATTTTCCTAGGAGAAAGGGCCTAATTTTGCAGTGTTAAGGAGACTCTGTATTACATGTAGTCATTTCGGATTTGAAGACCAATATGGGTTTTCCCCCTGATACACCAACAATTAGAGATGTTAATATAGAACATGAAATTATGATGTCATTCCTCCCAAGATGGCCATATTCTAGAAACACCTTTCATAGTGACACTTAATATTTGAATCTGGAAGCATAGCAAGGGGCTGACTTTATAGCCATGTCCCCAGTCACAAGGGCATCAGATGGCCATTATTTCATCACAGCCAGGTTTAGGAAAGTGGCACAGTTGTCTGTGACAGGCAGAGAAAAGGCCAGGGCAATTTTAAACGTGTATAGGGTTTAGTCTTCCTCCAAGTGGATTGTTCTAAGGCTTACTGTTAACTTTTTTTCTGGAGGGTTTCAGTTTGTGGACTTGTGTTTGTAAGCGTTCTGTTTTCATTGAAATGTCTTCTGTATTAATACTAACTTCCTTTCCTAAGTAAAGAATAAAAAGCATACAGGGTGTGTTTGGAAGCACTTCATTCTTATTTATTTTGCTGGTCACCTTTAAAATCACTTGTCCTACATTTATTAGTGCAGGTTTTGTGGTGTCTTTGGTTTCTTCTGCTGCTTGGTTCTATCATCAGGTTCTTTTTTAAACATTAAATATTTCCACAGGGCCTACGAGGACAATTACTTTGGCTCTTCACTGATGGATTTTATTTCTTAATATATAAATTCCATGCTTCTGAGAATACCCATTTTACATTTACAGGAAGAAGAAATGTTTCGTCCAAATATGTTTTTCCTTCTCCTGCTTCCTCCTATTATATTTGAGTCAGGATATTCATTACACAAGGTAAGGCCCAGGCATGCACTGGTGCTTTTGGTCTAGGTGGCTGCCCAAGTCGGTGAGACCAGCTCCTTAAGAGCTTGGGTGTTGACCTAGCAGCGGTGGCTCTGTGTGAGCACCCCGGGGGTGCGCTGCCTGAGGGAGAGGGGCGCGCGTAGCAGTTAGTGGGTCGCTTTAATGGTTTCAGGCGGTGTGGCTTATTAAACTAGTATTTTCCACAGAGGGTTACTTTTCCTAGGAAGTGATGGCCAAAGTGATTTTTAAGTGTACACGGGCAATATATTGACTCTTCTTTTTGGACACAGACTGACGCATGTTAAGAGGACAGTGTGTCCCAAGCCTTTTGATTCTCAGCTTCCCATGTGCGGCTTTTGTCCCTCCTTCGGCCTCTCCATCCTTCAGTGTCTCCCCTCTCAGTGTCCTGCCCTAGCTCCCCCTCTGATATCCCCTTATCCCCGGACTCCTTTTCTTTCCGCCATCTCCCTGGCCCAGCTTCTCCTTACCAGACTGGAGCCTCATCCCTCCCCAGCCCTCCAGCTCCTTCTGACCCATCACCTAGTCTAGTCCCACGGTTACTGTGCTCATTCTTGGCTCCTCAGCCTAGAGAGCGGCCTCACCGGCCCTTGCCCACTTCCCCGCCTTGCCCCAGCATTTCTGGTCTCTGCCCTCCAGCTTCCAGTGGGACTCATTCTGCCTGGGCGGGAGCTTCTCACTTTTAAGCCAGTTTGTGTGTATGTGGGGGGTGGGGGAGGGGTGTCTTTTTCTTGACGTTTTAAGTTTATTTATTTATTTTTGAGACAGAGAGGGAGAGCGCACGCGTGCACGCCCCACACCTGTGCGAGAGCAGGGGGGAGGCAGAGAGAGATGGGGTGGGGGGAATCCCAAGCAGGCTCCATGCTGTCAGCACAGAGCCCAGTGTGGGGCTTGATCCTGTGCACTGTGAGATCATGACCTGAGCCAAACCAAGAGTCAGATGCTCAACTAACTGAGCCACCCAGGTGCCCCTCTTTAAATGTACTTAAGTTTTAGGGGCGCCTGGGTGGCTTAGTCGGTTGGGCTTCCGACTTCAGCTCTGGTCATGATCTCGTGGTTCGTGAGTTCAAGCCCCGCGTTGGGGTCTGTGCTGACGGCTTGGAGCTTGGAGCCTGCTTCAGATTCTGTCTCTGTCTCTCTGTCCCTCCCCTACTCGCTCTCTGTCTCTCTGTCTCTCTCTCAAATGTAGTAAATAAATAAATAAATAAATAAATGTACTTCAGTTTTAAAATAAAAAAGTGACTCAACTTAAAATGTTAGTAATACATCAGTTATTTTCTGAATGTGATTAAAAATTGTGAAGGTTGGAAAGTTTGGCCTACCCTTGGACAGAGGAAAAGAGCCTGGACTTTAGAGCCAGAGAGACAGAGGTCTAATCATGCACTGCCTCCTACAGGTGTCTTTTGGGTAGAGTCAAAATTAAAAACAAAAAAAATCCCCCAAACCCTACCTCCTGGGTTGTTTGAAGGTTTGCACAAAATGAAAGAATGTATGCAGAGCATGACCCACCACATTAAATAATCGATGGTGTTCCTTGTTAACATCATCTATTATTAATATGACCACTGTCATTACTGATAACTTAGTAAATGAGTTAAATTTAGTCATGAGAGTTTTGTTAAAACATACTAATTAAATCTTTAGTTTTCCACCTGGATACTAAAACATAAATATTTTAAACTGTTCAGTCCAGGGGCGCCTGGGGGGCTCAGTCAGTTGAGCGTCCGACTTCGGCTCAGGTCATGATCTCACGGTCTGTGAGTTCGAGCCCCACATCAGGCTCTGTGCTGACAGCTCAGAGCCTGGTGCCTGTTTCAGATTCTGTGTCTCCCTCTCTCTCTGACCCTCCCCTGTTCATGCTCTTTCTCGGTCTCAAAAATAAATAAACGTTAAAAAAATTTTTTTTTTTAAAAAGGAACAGGCAAGAAGAAATTAAAAGTCAGTGTCTTTCACACTTTCATTTTATAAACAAATCTTAAAAGAACTATACGCAGATAAAAGAAAATATTTCAAAACAATGTGAAGTGGGAGTGCCCGGGTGGCTCAGTCAGTTAAGTATCCTACTCTTGATTTCCACTCAGGTCATGGCGTCAGCCATGAGATTGCGTCGGGCTCCGTGCTGACAGCCGGAGCCTGCTTGGGATTCTCTCTCTCTCTCTCTCTCTCTCTCTCTCTCTCTCTCTCTCTCTCTCAGAATAAATAAACATTTTTTTAAATAAAATTTTTTTTTAATTTAAAAAACAATGCTGAGGAAGTTGAGTTGATTTTTGCTTAAAAACATGACACTGTGATATTATATTAGAGCATATAAAATTTTTATTTTCTAATTTTTTGGAGGGAGGGAGATAAACTTGTTCAAAATTTGAGGAAAATAATAGTTTCTTAGAAAGACATTTGTTTGAAGATGGCTTTCCAGCAGGAAATGTGACAGTTTATGTGAAATGGACTAATGTGAGTTAGAAATGTGAATTCAGAGACTTCTGTTCACTTCTGTCCTCCCCAAAGAAGATAGGAAGTCAACTTTGAATGTTTTTAGTATTGCTGTATTTGTTGATGTAAATTTGAACTTGGAATAAAAATTTCAGTAAGATTCCCATCAGTTAATATGCATTAGATAGGCAGCTATTGGTTCTTTAAAATTATTAATATCATATAAAGAATAGGACATTAGTTATGTCAAAGAGAAACAGATAAATTTGCTCGGTGTAACAAAGGGAAGTTCTTTTAGTGTGGTAACTTGAATTTGGGTAAATTTTCAATATCCAGATTAATATTAACCAGCTACATAAATTATATTAGCATTAGATTCCTATAAACAGATCAAGACTTAATTTAATCTATTTTAACCTATTTTTTAACAACAAAAATTAATTAGCTCTTTGCAGAGAAAACTCCTAGATGAAAGCCTTTGGTTTAGAAAAAACAAATCATTGTGTTTGCCCTGAATATTTTAAAGTTTTTTGTGTGCTAAAGATTGATAAACCAGGCAAAATAATTGAATGTTAGATTATGGGCAGCCAAATCAAAATTGCAACAAAAGAAGCAAAAAAGCTTCCTGAAGGAGATAGGCTTGGTGGGGCCGTTGGTGTTGAGGTGAGGACATAACTTTGGAAGTGAGCTTTAAAATAGCAGTTCCTGTTGTCTGTGGCTTGACAGTTAAGTACAAAATGGGATTCCTCGTCTATGCCCACAATCAGGTATCGAGGTTCCTCGGTATTGTTCCTAAGTGGAGTCCACAGGATTCTAATAAATAGCTTAATTTTTTTTAATTTTACGGAAATTTGAAAGATTTACCATGCTACCAGGACGCAAATATATTCTCTTAAATGCTGTGAAGTATAGATGGAAATATTTTTTATCCGTCGTATTTGATGAGGTTACTAATAGAGTAAAATAAAGTTATTTAAGGGGCACCTGGCTGGCTCAGTCAGAGGGGCGTACGACTCCTGATCTTGGGGTCTTGAGTTCAAGTCTCACGTTGCATGTAGAAATTACTTAAATAAGTAAACTTTACATAGATAGACAGATGGATAGATAGCAAGCCCTGGACAGCAAACAGGAGTTTTTGATCATATAACGTATTATCTTGACATACTTTGTAATAATTCACCTTTTCTGAGGCGCCTGGCTGCCTCAGTTGGTGGAGTGCACAACTCTTGGTCTCACAGTTGTCTGTTCAAGCCCACATTGGGTATAGAGATTACTTTAAAATCTTTAAAAAGAATTAGGCACCTTTTCTTAATTAATTAAAAAATTATAGTTGTATAAATTTTGGACTTTGATCAGATGTGAAACACAGTTAATTCCTTCAGTACCTATTAATTATCTTCTATCTGACGGGCATTATGCCAGTAACTATGTTACATAACAGCAGACCAGGTCACTGCCGCCTCCACTGAGCTTATAGCTTAGTGGGACAGACAGACCTCAGTCAAATAGTTACATAAATGAATATAAGATTTTGGGCATGGGGCACCTGGGTGGCTCAGTTGGTTAAGGCGTCTGACTTCGGCTCAGATCATGATCTCATGGTTCATGAGTTGGAGCCCCCCATCGGGCCCTGTGCTGATGACTCAGAGCCTGGATTCTGTGTCTTCCTCTCTCTTTGTCCCTCCCCTGCTCGCTCTCTCTCTCTCCCTCTCTCAAAAATAAATAAGCATTAAAAAAAATAATAATAAAAAAAAAAAGATTTTGGCCATGTACCAGGAGAGGGTCATTGTGCACTGAGAGCATAGGATAGGATTTGCCCTGGCTAAAAGATCAGAGCAGGCCTCCTTCAGGAAGAGTCAAGCTGTCCTCAGATCTTCAGATGATTCGGGTTCACCAAGCAAGGAGAAAGGAAGAGTGGTCCAAGCCCAGGAAGCATAATATGTTCTAAGAACCATAAGCTACCAGTGTGACCAGAACCCAGAGAACAAAGGGGAGGTGTGAGGCCTTCACAGGGGGTAGAACCATCCAGGCTTTGGTTGGGTTTTGAGTGGAAGTGGGAGGTCAGGGTGGAGGCATCATAATCAGGCTTGGCTTTTCCAAAGCTCATTCTGGAAGCCCTTGAAGAGCTAGAGGGGGAGGGGCCCCACTGGTTCGGGCAGTTCCTAGCAGCAGTCCAGGGTGAGGTGATGGCGGCTTGCACGAGGGCCCCATCGATGTGAATGACTCGGGGAAGGTCACACCATGACACCTGGCTCCCCGTTAGGCGTGGGGGTGAGGGAGGACTGCCAGGTCTCCAGCCAAACCAGGTAGGCGGCGGTGTCCTTTGCAGAGAATCAGAGGGCTGGGTGGGGGGTGAGTGCCTTCACTGACTGGACCGGCTTCCCTAATCAGTCCTCTCATTGCTGCTTTTTCAAACAGGGTAACTTCTTTCAAAATATTGGTTCCATCACCCTGTTTGCTGTCTTCGGTACGGCAATTTCCGCTTTTGTAGTAGGTGGAGGAATTTATTTTCTGGGTCAGGTAAGAAAAACATCTTTGAAAAATCCTGAAAATCTTACGTTCTTAGAGATAGTGCAGGGGGATGGGGTAGGGACAGACACCTCGTGGGGCCTGTGTTTCATGTTCAAGGTAAACACTGTCCTGGAAGGAAATCCAAACTCATATGAGGCACAGTAAAAGCATGCTGAAATTGTTTCTAAGTGTCCTCGAAGAGCTTTGGTGTCTGGAATTGAGTGGATCTTCTCCATCATACCCAAAAGTATTTGATCTTACCTGCAAACCAATAATTTAAGACCTAATACTAAAATTAAAGCAGAATATATACCATCAAGGTCTTTAGATTATAACAGTATCAGTTGTGTTCTCAGGTAAATGGAATCAAAGTTAAATACTGTGTCTCAGTAAACATTTGCATTTTAAAAATCAAACTCGATTCTGAATATGTTCACTCAATTCTAAGCTGTCCACCTATAGAATTGTATACTCCGGATTTTCCACTATTGCTAAACCAATTCCCAGTGTCATCAATTGGATGTTCTGTACTTTGAGTTCAAATTAATTTGAATTAATTTAAACCAAACCTACCCAGAAAGGTAATATGTATACTTTTGTACTCTGCATGTGTATGCACGTCATAGTTCTTTTCTTTTATGGTTACTTGCACAAAGTTTGCCTGCCCCCGTTCTGTGGACTGAGGGTCAGAGTCGGGCATCTGGGTGACCAGCAGGCCTCTCGTGTGTGTCAGATGTGTTTGCTTCTGTTGGTGGCTGTCGGCCAAAGCCCACTGCATCTGATTGTCCCCTGAACTGCTGCCACAGTGGCACCAGAATAGATCTGTCTGTCATGCAACCTTCATTGCTCAGCTTCTAGTAGCAAATGGGAATAAACTTCAGAAAACTATACTTAATTTGGCTTGAAAATGTAGCATTCTTTTCTGTACTTTTGTTGTATAATGATTGAATGCATGCTTAAACTGAAACTTAGGAGTTTTCTTTATGTTTCAAGTGGTTTGGGGACTGAAGATTAATGTCCTTATTAGTTTCTAATAAAGCACTAATGGACATTTTAATCTTCTTGGCTGTTCTCCAGGGGTTTTTTTTTTGTGTGTGTCTATGTGTTTGTGTGTTTTATTTTACAGGCTGATGTAATCTCTAAACTCAACATGACAGACAGGTAAATCTTTCATACTGTCACCCCCGTGTGACTACTTTTCAAACTGGGGATAGTTTTCTCCACCTTGATTCCTGGGTGCGGTATTTCTCTATTCTGTCTCTCTTTTTGTTTTGAGGATGATTTCTGCTGAATTAACTTGTGGCTCAGAAATTAATCACAACCATATTGTGGAATTTTGAATATCTCTAGTCAGAGCATTGCTGATTGGAATAATTGATTTATTTTAAGCCTTGGAGGGAATATCTCTGGTCAGTTAACTGCACCCTGTCCCCAACACCACTCACTGCATCTTGCATTATCCAGAATCATCTTCACCTAATTTCTGAGTCTTTTCAGTGGCCACTTGATAGATTCGGGATGGAGGGGGGAGTGAGGTGTGTATCTTTACTCTGGGGTTCCCACCAAGCCAGGCATGGGGTAGGGTGCGGGGAGCAGGCAGGGCCAAGGTCTCCACTGTGCATATCTTCCTCAGTCTGAAGCTACTCCAGTGAGCACTCAGAGTTGCCAAGAGCCCAGCTCAGGAATTTCCTTCATCAACTTAGCAAGAAGCAACCGAGGCCTCTGTCTCCTGGATGGTACCAGATCCAGTGCTAAGAAAGTGCACAAGCAGAGTGAGGCCTGGTTTCGTCCCCTCGCTGGGAAGTCTGTCGAATGTACAGCCTTGGTCTGTGTTTCTGCACCATGAGTGCTTGCCTTTGTGGCCTGGCTGGGGGCTAGGAAGCCCGGGCTCAGGTGTCCGCCCCAGCTCTCTCCTGTCAGGCCGGTCAGAGCCATCAGTCTTCAGCAACTTGGGGACTAGAATCTCGAAGCCATTTTCGCGGGAAGTGTGCCTCTGAGAACAGCCAGTGCAATCTCCTCTTCCCCCAGGGACATAAATTTTGGAGCTTTTGTTGTAAGATAGTCTTGTTATATAAACAAGTAGCAAAAATCACATTCTTATTCTATAAGGAGCTAGAAATAAAGCAGCACTGAGGCCCCGCATTTTGTAAGTATTTTGCAAGTGAAGAGAACTGCCCTGTACCTAGTCATACAAAGGAAGATGTCACAGCATTCAGTCCTTCAACGTGTTCTGGGTCAACTGGTTAGAGATACAGAAATGCTTGATAAATTCTTGTGAAACAGAATTAAACCGATGTTTGTTGGGAGGTTCAGGGAGAGAGGAGTAAAAGAATTGTCCCTTAGACAAGCAGAATAAGCCAGGTAGGGATTCTCTCTCGATGTGCAGGCACTTCCTTTCCTGTTAGAAAGTGACCTTCCCGCAGACTGGGAGTGCTCTGGGGAAAATTAGCCAGCAGTTGCAAACCTGCAGCCACAGGGCCTGGCCAAGCACTTACCAGAGGGAACTTCCAGGTGTCTGGGGGTGGCCGTGGTGGGGATCTGAAGTGTGCACCCTGTCTGAAAGGGACAGCCACTTCTCAGCTCTACCTGGTCATCGCCATGTGGGAATGCAGGCACAGAATTACTGGATATTAACTTTTTTTTTTTTTTTTTTTTTTTTTTTCAAAAGAGGCCAGGTTTCTAGATTTTAATTAGGGAATTTCCTACTTTTTTTTTTTTAATTTTTTTAATATTTATTTCTGAGACAGAGAGAGACAGAGCACAAGTAGGGGAGGGGCAGAGAGAGAGAGGGAGACACAGAATCCGAAGCAGGCTCCAGGCTCCGAGCTGTCAGCACAGGGCCCGACGCGGGGCTCGAACTCACAGACCGTGAGATCATTACCTGAGCTGAAGTCGGACGCTTAACCGACTGAGCCACCCGGGCACCCCAGGAATTTCCTAGCTTTTAAATGTTAACAACTTACTTTTTTTTAAGTTTATTTATTTATTTTGAGAGAGAAAGAGAGAGAACACACGTGTGCATGAGAGGGGCAGAGAGAAAGAGAGAGGGAGAGAGAGAGAATTCCAAGCAGGCCACGTGCTGTCAGTGTGCCGAGCCCAACACGGGGCTCGAACTAACTCACAAACCTGCGAGATCCTGACCCAAGCCAAAGCCAAGGGTCAGACACCCAACTGACTGAGCCACCCAGGTGCCCCAAAAGCTGACAACTTATAATCAGTTTTTCAAAACACCACTTAGGTCAAACATAAGACCCACAGACCTCTGCACGATAGAAAACATAAAAATAACTTTGTTACACAGAGGATTGTATTGTAGAGACGTTTCTGCTGGAGAGAGATGTCACTTGTAGATACATCTGAGTCCCTTCACCTCAGTCTGTTTCCTTTTCGCTTGGTTGGTGTTGCTGTCTCTTTTGAGATGATAGAATAAATCAAGAAAACACACTTCTCAGTTAAACTTGTAGCTACTGACCTTTTAGAGGACGAGCCACAAAAGAGGGTGAGGCAGCAAGTCACGCCACAGCGAAATGACTCCTTAGAGTCCGACCTCTCAATGAATCAGGCTGTTCATACTTCAGTACTCCAGGAAAACTCTGCCCCAGTACAGATCCCCAGCCCAAGCTGAGTGTGTCAGATGATTTCTGCAAAGCATTGCCCCCCAACTGTGTATATGAAAATTCCAAAGACACAGAAAAGGTAAAGCATGTGCAGTTCACGCCCAAAAGACCACCAGCTGGGTTCTACGATGACTGTGTCACTGAATTTGCTTTAGCACAGATCTTTCCATCCGTCCATCCCTCTGTCCATTCATCAGTTGGTCTTTTAGCTCCTGCTCTGGCTTCAGTTCAGGTTCCCACAGGGACCGTGACAAAGAACATCAACCAGGCCTCTTTTAGCAAAACTGACACCCAACGCAACTAGTTTTAGCAAAAAACCAAAAAACAAAAAAGGTTGTTGACTTATAGAACTGAAGGGTCCTGGAGTGATGGCTTCTGGCCTGACAGCCTCCAGGACTCTCTCACTGTGTCTCCGTCCGTTCCTCCTGACGGGCTTCATCCTTGGACACACTTGCCCCGCGTGGCAGCACTGGTGGCTCTGGGCTCACCCCCCCCCCCCTCGCTTTAGCATCGCCGCCCAAGGGGCCAACCTGATTCCCAGTGGCCTGGTAAAATGCCCGGTGATGGCCCTCTCTGACCAAACTCGGGTCCCCTGCCCACTCCTAGAGCCCCACGCAACTATACAGGTGGAGGGTTGGAGAGGTGTGGCTCCCCAAATGGAAGTTGGGGTGCTTGTTACCAAAACCGGGGGTGTGGATGCTGAGCACAGAGAACCATAGCTGCTTGGCCGCACTGTCCTCAGAAATGGACGAAAGGGACCAACCGAGCCGCACAAAGTCGGCACCCGACACAGGAGCCACCAAAGGCTCCCAGGTTCCTCCTCTGTCACCTCCCTCTCTCCTTCAGAGTATCCTTTTCAGAAGTTGTTTTTCCTGAGGCCCATGGCGATTTACCCCGGGGTGAGGAGAGGGAATCAAAGACAAAGGAAGAGACCAGCTCTGTGTCCGGGCTGCAACAGGAGGGCCTCAAGGCCGGGCTGCCCACAGAACAGGGCCCCTCGGGTTGGCAGCCGTTCGGTGGTGTTGCCTGTCCTTCTCTCCCTGGCCTTCCTCTTCCCTCCCTCCCGCCTGCCTTCCACAAATTCCTCTGGGTCGTGCTCAGTACAGATCCTGAGAATATACCCATGACTAAAACATAGTACCCACCTGCTTGGCACTCTGAGTGAGGGCAAGAGGCAGGTGACATGTGTCAGCCTCGGTGAGAACAGGGCAAGTCTCGAACTGAGCTCTGGACTGGGACTGTCTTTCGGGGTCCGCCCCTCAGCTTGGGACCCAGCTGTCCTTGAGGTGAGCAGGCTGTCCCGCACGAGTCCGCATTAATTCAACACAGGGAGCTGCCCGGGAAACCAGCATGCCAGATGACCGACTTACAAAGCAGGCTGCGGCTGGCAAGGCAGCCAGGCAGCTCGTCCCCCCGGCTCTGCTTACCCCGAGCCTGGGCTCACGTGACTGTGCAGAGCGGCTGAGCGTGGGTAGGCCCACCACCACGCTGGGCGAGTAGCTCCCCCTTCCCTTCCAGGCTGCGAGCTTGGTGAGGGCATGAAACAGAGGCGGATGGTCTCTGGCTTACATCTCTCTCCGGGTCTGTCCCCTTGAGAGCCCCTGTTTTGTCTTACGTGGTGGAAGGGGGCAGACCTAATCTGTCTGCTGATCTAGAAAGGAAGAGCCAGGCACGGCATGTGGCATTGAGGGGATCGCAAGGCCTGCAAGGACTCCCAAAGGGTAGAAAGAAACAGGCAGAGAGGATAAGTCATCCAGACTCCTGGGGAGGCCCACGGGGCCCTGCCTCACTTGCCAGCCTCTGACATCTGCCGCTGCCTCTCACGGGGCCGCTGCCACACTCACCGGCTTCTCGGGCCGCCAAGTTTGCCCCCACCTCAGAGGGAGCTTGCTGCTGTCTCTGTCCCCAGATCCTGACTTGGCCATCTGCTTCCTGTCATGTAGGCCCTTGTTTAAGTAAGTGTCATCTCTTCAGAGAAGCCTTTTCTGACCATCCGCTGTGAGTGGCCCACCCCCTGCCACCCACCAGATCACTCTGATCTCCTGTGTAACGCTTGCCATTTTTCCAAACTGGCCTTAGTCTCTGGATGTTGCTGTAACCAGCGTCTCGGTGAGGAGCACGGACTTGGGGCCAGGCGGCCCGTGTTTGGATCCTGGGTCTTGCCACTTCTCAGCTGTCTGACCTCGGGCAAGTTGCTTACCCTCATTGTCCCTCCACCTGCGCTATGTAACCGTGGTGGTAATGGTACCACCTCACGTGGTTGCCGTGTGGAGCGCTGAGTTCCTAGACGTCAAGGGCTCGGAACAGTGCCTGGGACGCGGCAAGCGCCGCACGAAGGTTTGCTGTCATTACGGCCTCAGTGCCTGCAACATGCCAGGCAACTAATACCTCTTTGTCGGTGGTAGTTACACCTTCCTGGGCACTGTTGGGGAAGCCCCTGGCCCGGAGGGAGGCAGCCCTGGTGTTGGTGTCCCCCAGCCCAGCCACCCATCCCCTCGAGGCACGGCAGAGTTGCCTCCGACTTCGGCACTTTCTTAGATGCCGCAAGTCTGAGTAGAGGCTGTGGTCGGTCACAGGGGGCACTCTAGTGGCCTGGTGGCAAGGGGAGAAGCAGAGGTCACACCCAGGAGTTCGTGGGGCCTGTGGGTGAGGCCCCCCCTGAGCCATCATGCTTCCAGCTGCTCTGACAAAGAGCTAGGCTGGGATGTCTGTAATGTCCATCTATCTGTCACCGGTCAGATAAAGTCTTGGTACTTCGGTGGAAAACCAGGCCGTTTCTAACAAAGGCTTGTGGAGCGGGCCTTTCACCGCCCCACCCACAGTGTCAGCCAGCAGATGTTACAAGTGGGGAAAATACACCACCTTCTGGAGTTACTTCAGCCCCAGTGTGTATTAGTACGTTAGACACATGCAGTCTTGGCTTGGATGTTTTATATGTGGACTATGTGACAAGCATTGCAGAATCACCCCTTCTTTTTCTCTTCTTTGCAGCTTTGCATTTGGCTCCCTGATTTCTGCTGTGGATCCAGTGGCCACTATTGCTATTTTCAATGCGCTTCATGTGGACCCAGTGCTCAACATGCTGGTGTTTGGAGAGAGTATTCTCAACGACGCCGTCTCCATTGTCCTGACCAAGTGAGTGTCCTTTCTTCAAGGACGGCACTGAAGGTCCTTGTAGCAAAGGGACAGGTATTTCCATGCAGTCCTTGTCGTCTGGGTGATGGGTTCACTCGCTTCTCTGTCTTCTGTCCTGAGAAGCCCTGTCACCCCCGGCAGGACTGTCAAGGTCCCGGCTGATTCGAGGAGGGCCTGCCTTCTAGGACCTACCTGGCAGCAGTGGTTTCAAGTCCACCTTCTTGTCGGCACCCCTGGGGGTGCTTATTAGCCAGAGCCCTCCCAGGCCCCACCCTCACAGCTTCTGATTCATTTGTTTTGGGGTAGGTCCCAAGAACTTAGGCTTTTGGGAGTTTGTTTTGTTTTGTCTTAGAGAGAGAAGGCTCGAGTGAGCAAGGGGGCAGAGAGAGAGAGAGATCTGTTTAGCAAGTTCCCCCATTATTGGCTTTTTCACATTTCTCTTGGCAAAAATTTCTATGGCTTTATTAGGAAATTCTCAGACATCATGCTGTAGATAAGACCTTTAAAAAATCTGATGGCAATATTTTTTTCTTGTTTAGGATCTACTCTGAAAGCCTTTTAGCTTTTGGGTTTTAACTTTGGTTCCGTGTCTTGACTACACGTACTGAACATTCGTGATAAAGTATTTTGTCCAAATTGGAGGTGACATCATGAGTTATTTTTACACATTGGGAGCTCAACTCAGCTGCTTTATGTCTAATTTATTTTGCTTTTAAAAATCTGTCAGAAGGAGGATCTCTTCTGAGCTTTTCCAAGAGGAAAGAAAAGGTTAAAGGTTTTCTGTTAAAGACTTTGACAGAAGGGTAAAGATGAGAAGATACTTTCTTTTGAAAATGAGAGATGATGGAGTCGCTGTAACTAGCCAAAGTTTCTTCCTGGAAAAGTGCTTTTTTGAAGGCCAAGATCGCCTGTGATGGCAGTTCCCAAAACTGGCTCCGTGCGCCACAAGCGTGTGTAGCTTCCAGCCCCCGCCCCCCCTCACCACTGCTGGTATCCGGCCCGGGGTGGAACACGCTCAAGGCCGGCCGTCCACCCCCAGCGTCTGGCGAGGGCCCTCCATGTGCCAGACGTCACTCAGAGACCCGCTGGACTAGACGGAGCTCAATCCAAGGTGGGGGAAAGCTGCTCACGGAAAAGTGAGCCCAGTGCCTTGAGTACGAGAGACAGACAGCCATGCTGAGGGGTTCGAGTGAGGCTTCTCAGCCAAGTTGTCCGTGAGCCGGTCGGCATATTCAGGTTGAAGAGGAGAGAGAGGGGAGGGTCGGGGAGCAGTACAGGAGAGGACCGCTTCAGCTTTCCTTGGTTATAGGGTGGAATCACGTCTTGTTTCAGAGTGGGCTTCACAGATGATTGCTTTCAAAGTGACCTGACACGTGTGTCTTTGCAGCTGAATATCTGAATGAATTACCCCTTTTTTTGAGGTTTTCACTTTCAAAAGTTCCAGAAAGCTATCTTCTGCTTCTTCGGGGGTTTTTTAAATTTTTTCTTTTTAATATTTATTTATTTTTGAGAGAAAGACCAGAGTGCGAGCAGGGGAGGCGCAGAGAGAGAGGGAGACACAGAATGCGAAGCAGGCTGCAGGCTCTGAGCTGTCAGCACAGAACCCAACACCGGGCTTGAACCCACGAGCCACGAGACCATGACCTGAGCCAAAAACGGACACTTAACCGACTGAGCCACCCAGGCGCCCCTTCGTTAATTTTAATTAAATTATTTTTAGCTTTGATTTGTTAGTATGACGATTTATTCTTACAATAATTGCTGTGGAGGAAACCTTCTTGCGCTCTCCGGCCGCAGCGTAAGCTCACAGAATGGATCCTGAAGCAGCCTTGTCTCGTATTCTTCAAAGTGTGAGAAAAGGACCTGAAAAACAAAAATGTAGAAATTTGCCAGGTCAGAAAGAGTCCAAATTCTAATTTCATTTATGTTGAGAAATTGTTGGCCTCTGTCCTGGGTCTCCTGTCAACCCTTGGTGTGACCTCACCAGTGAGTCACTTCCGTGGGGCCTCCGCATGAACGGAAAGCAAGGCTCCAACCAGCGTACCAGCCGTGGCCACGATATGGGGGTCGGGGCCGGGCACTGTGTGCAGGTGGCCTGCAGATCCGTTTGGGAACTGTGGGTGAGCACTTGCCCGGTGAGAACCCCTGCTGGCTCTCAGCACTCCCCAAGGTGGGGCGTTGACCTGTGGTCTGCTGGGAAAGAAAGGGGTGGGGGAGTTGTGCATTCAGGTCCCTTTGGAAACTTGTGCGAGAAAAGTTAGATTGCTTTTTTGCAGGAGTTTTCAGAACCTTTGTTATGTTACACTGTGCTGCGAATCACTACTGAAAACTTCCTGAGGTTATTTGACCAAGCTACCCTTTTATCAGAGATTATCCCACTTTAAAATGATAGCAATTCATGAAACACTGATTCATGAAACTGAGTATTTCTATTGACAATTCTTTGTTTTGTTTACGGATTCAGCAGAAATTTACTGAGTGTCTTTGTATACTAGGCTCTGCCTTAGGCCCTGGATATGTGGCAGTGAACGAGATGGATGCAGGCATGGGCTTCATGAATGACTCATGACTTTGGCACTTGCTGTGAAGAAGTAAGGGACCAGGAGAGCCTGTAATATGTGAAGGGGTCAGGGCGGCTGGCCCTGAGGGAGTGACATTGGCCCTCGGTTCTGAGGAACAAACTGGGGAGTTAGCTGGGGGCAGGGAACAGTGAAAGATGACCTACAGAGAGGTGCCCATGACAGTGGGGTCCTTTCTGAATGAGGAGATGGGGTCATGAGGGCAGAGGAGTCACCTCATGCATAGACAGACTGGCCTTCCTCCTGAAAAGCAGCAGGAAACTGTTGCTGGGTTTGAACCGGCCAGTAACCCGATCAGATTGTGTATTTTAAAGGGATCATCCAGGCCAGTGAGTGGAGAATGGGTCGGTCCCTTAGGAAGACAAGGATGTTTGGACAGAGTGATGGAGCACAAGGCCCGGAACAGAGGATGGTAAGGGACGGAAGGAGAGAAGTGGATGGGCTTGAGAGTAGTCTAAGGGTAGAATCCGTTAGGAGGAGGGTCTTTAATGACAGAATAACTTCGTTGTAATGGTATAATGGTTTTCCCTTTGGGGAGAAAACCGTTCATTGAATTGAATGGCTTCTGACATTTTACTTTGTTCTATTAGCCTAAAAGGAAAGTTCTTTTAATTCTCCCTAATGCCTCCTAAATCCACTCTCTCAGCCTGTACCCAGTGACACTTTTTTTTTTTTTTTTTTTTTTGTAATTTAAGTTTAAGTTTATTTATTTATTTTGAGAGAGAGAGAGAAAGAGCCTGAGCAAGAGAGGGACAGAGAGAGAGGGAGAGAGAATCCCAAGCGGTTAGCGCAGAGCCTGATGCGGGGCTCGAACTCATGAACCGTGAGATCATGACCTGAGCTGAAACCAGGAGTCGGACAGTTAACCCACTGAGCCACCCAGGCGCCCTCCCAGGTCGCCCCATTCTCATCTGATTTCCTGCCATGGCTTCAATGATCCCCCCCCAGCAGGATCCCTCCCCCCAGGATCCCCCCCACCACCACCAGACTGGAAACACTGCCCATGGCTCCCTAGTGCCTTTGGGATAAACTACCATCTCCTTAGCTTAGTTCATCAAAAGCCTTTCACACGTCCGCCATGGCTGCTGGTCTTGCCTTTTCTCTTGCCACTGTTCTCTGCACTGGCACCCCCGCCCCTGTCCCGTTTCTGTGTTCTGTCCCTGCTAATCTATGAAATTGAAGCTTCCGGAATGTGCTGTGCATTCTTGGGCTCCTTGCCTCTGCACATGCTGTTCCCCCGGCCCCGGGCACTTTTCTAACTCTAAACCTGGCTCACGTATCATGAGGAACCTTCCTTGACCACCACCAGGCTGAGTTAGATGCCCACCCTGTGTTTCTGCACCCTGTGCCCTTCCCCGAGTGGTCATTTGTTCCCGTCTTGTTTGTCTTCCTCACCAGACTGAAGGAGCCCTTCCAGGGCAGGGACTCTGCTCTCTCATCTCTGAACCCCCTGAAACTAACACCATGCCTGCAACAAAGTAGGCGAACAAATAAGTGACCCAACCCAATGATGGAATGAGCGAATAAGCGCCTAAGCAAGAATCAAGTTTTGAGTTTTAGTTAACTTCTAATAACTTTGTCTATAACATTTTAACTTCTTCCTGTTTTTCTTTTATTTCCTAGCACAGCTGAAGGTTTAACAAGGAAAAATATGTCAGATGTCAGTGGGTGGCAAACATTTTTACAAGCCCTTGGCTACTTCCTCAAAATGTTCTTTGGCTCAGCAGCACTCGGCACCCTCACTGGCTTAATCTCTGCACTAATATCCTTTTAATATGATGAGCACACGTGTCCGAGAAGATTTTCTTAATTACATTCATCTACATTCAGCCATTTTCTCCCCTTCCTTATGGAGGCCGGGGGTCAGTTTTAGTCTTAAGGTTGAGTTTGAAGAAGGATCTTTATTTAGTTTGGGTTTGAGGATCACTTTAATTGAAACTCAAGGATTTTTAGATTTAACATGTTAAGATTTAGGACGTCACTGTTCAAAGCGTCAGATCTCAGTTGGATCTGATTTCAGGGGAGCTTCTCAGTTCAGAAGATTTTCAGTTTCTACTGCCTCACTTTTCACATTCAGAGAACTGGAAATTAATTTCCTCTGAAAATACCAGCTTGACTAAGTCTTTACCCCACTGAAAGTGTTTATCTGGAAGACCAGAAAAGAGACTTTTAAAATGAGCTCCATCCAAGTTATTCGCACTGATTGCATTGTTTAACAGCCCATAAGCTTTTCCAGCCGGAGGAGGAAAAGGCTCGTTAAGGCCAATGACACCTTCATTGCTGTAGAAAATTTGTCCTGTTTAAAATAGGAACAGGCACCAGACCATTTCTGTGGGAGCCTAAGCCTGTGTCTCAGGGAGTTGGCCGCCTGGCCCTCGTCCACGAGCAGTTTGTTCCACAGATGGCCGGGAGAGCCACCCCTGCCTGGACAGCCATGCTTGTCTGCCGTCCTGTTGAATTTTGCCTTCACCTCCTTTGTCCAGAAGTCTAAAGGCTCTATTGTTGGCTGACAGCGTCTCATATTGTACCAATAAACGGGATGGAAAGGAGAACTTTTTCTAGTTCAGCGTTTTCCTCCATATTCCTCTCGGGGGCCAGGGGGGCGGGGAATCATCGGCTGTGATGGAGCCAAGTAGATGGGTGCTGTGAGCCCAGCATAGGCACGTGGGCTGTATTTGAATACAGAGAAGATTCTCCTTCCACAAGGGCGTAGGTTTAGAAGTCTCCAGGAATAGGAAGGAGGGTCCTTCTGCGGGGCCTTTTACCCTGGAGTTCTGGGCACCCCGTTAGCGGTCTCCTCTGACGTTGGAGGAGGGGTGAAAGGAAGGGACCTGCCATTGTGGGCTGTCCTCAGTCTGGCTGCGGCCCCAGCTCTGCCCCCACAGCCCCAGCATACTGCCAGCCTTCCGAGTCAGCATTTTTTAAACACGTTGACTTAGGTTGGTTTTAATTTTTCCCCCACCATTTGTCTTAGGAATTTACAGCTCTTAGTGTTTTGTCAGCTTCCCTTTCGTAAAACAACTGTCTCCCTGCAAAGAAGAAAAAAAAAATCCATAATGACAGGTTTTCATGTGTTACCTTGGAATGTCCCAAACTCTTTTGTGTTCGTTGTTTACCGTATGTATTTGGAAGGCAGCGGTTTTGTGACTTTTCTACATCTCCCGTCAACTGTCCCTTGGTTCTTTTTCCTTGACAACTGTTATTTACGTGCTAAAGCATATTGACTTGAGGAAAACGCCTTCCTTGGAGTTTGGCATGATGATCATCTTTGCTTATCTTCCTTATGGGCTCGCTGAAGGAATCTCGCTCTCGGGTAAGTGACAGAAACATGAAATGCTGGGGTTGACGGCGGTCCTGCCTGGTGAAAGAGGTTATGTCAGTGGGGTCACTTTCAATCCCAAGAGACAGTCACAACTCAGAAGAGCTTAAGCAATAAAGGGGATTTACCGGCCCTGTAAGGACACCTCTGAATTTAGACCTGGCTGGATTCAGGGGCTCAGTGTCATGGTCACACTTTCTCTTCACCCACCATCCTGTAGTGGAGACCAGAATATCACTTCCAGTGCTGCTGCTTTCCCAGAACAAGGCCTCTGAGGGGCCTTCACTCAAAGGATGGGGTCAGCCTGCCAAGGGCAGTGAATCCTCTAGCCTGGCCCTAGACCCTGGTGCCCACTGATGTGCTATATTCTATCATTACAGTGTTGCCTTTTCTAGAATGCCGTACAAATGAAATCATGTAGTACGTAGACTTTTGTGTCTCCTTTCTTTCAGTCATCATAATGCTGAGAGACATCCATGCTTTGGCATGTATCAGTAGTTTATATATACATTCTTACAGCACCACATTTTATCCATTCGCCATTTGAAGGACATTTGGGTTTTTTCAGATTTTATAGCTATGAATATTTGTGCCTATTTTCAAATATCTTGGATAACTACCTAAGGGTGGGGTCGCTGGGTCATATAGTAAGTATATATTTTATGTTATTAGAGACTGCCAAGTGTTTTCCAGAACGATGGGACCATTTGGCATCCCCACCAGAATGTTAAGAGAGAGTTCCAGTTGTTTCACGTCCTCATCAACACTCACTCTAATGTTTAAAACTTTAGCCATTCAGATATGTGTGCGGCAACTTGATTCTGATGTGTTTTGGAGTAATTCTCTTTCTATTCTGCTTGGGGTTCATGGAGCTTCATGGGTTTATAGTTTATGAGGTTATAGCTCTTCACCAAATTTGGTAAATTTTTACCCATTTCTTTAAATGACTTCCTTCTGTTCTCCCACCTCTTCCCCTGTTGGGAGCCCAGTTACTTAAATTATGATAGACAACATGCTATCATCCCAGAATACACTTTGCTTTTCTAATTTTTTTCAATCTTTTTCTTTTTTTCTTTCTAAGCTTTACTTTGCTTCGGCCAGTTTCTGTTTCTGTGTCTCTGCGGTTTGGATCTTCTGCCTGCCCATTATCCTGTCGGTCCCGTCCAGTGTATCTTTCATTTCAAATATTGTGTTATTCATCTTACAGAAGTTCCCTTTGGGTCATTTTTATATCATTGATTTCTCTCCTCACGTTCACGATTGTCTCTACATTCTTGAGTATATGGAATACATTTATTTATTTAAAAAATTTTTAATGTTTATTTTTGAGAGAGAGAGAGAGACAGAGTGTGAGTGGAGGAGGGGCAGAGAGAGAGGGAGACACAGAGTCTGAAGAAGGTTTCAGGCTCCAAGCTATTAGCACAGAGCCCAACGTGAGGCTCGAACTCATGAACCGCGAGATCATGACCTGAGCCGAAGTTGGACGCTTAACTGACTGAGCCACCAGGCGCCCCGTGGAGTACATTTATAAGAGCTGCTGTAATGTCCTTGTTTGCCAGTTCCATCCTCTCTGTCCATTCTAGGACTCTTTCTGTCAGTTAACTTTTCTTCTGCCTCTAAGTCATATTTTCCTGCTCTTTGCTTGCCTATTAATTTTGTATTGAATGCCGGTCATTGTAAACTTTATTATGTCGTTGACTACTAGATTTTCTCGTATTCTTCATAGAGTTCTGGATTTTCTTCTGCCGTGTCTCTAAGTTTCTTGGAATCCATATAATCCTTTTGAAGTTTACTTTTAAACTTTGTCAGCAGGTCCAGACTAGCACTAGGAAGTAATGCAGTGCCCTTCTGAGGACTCTGCCTCCTGTCTCATGTATTTCAAGGCCACCCCACTCTGGCCTGCAGGAACGCAAACTTGCCAGCCTTATGTCTCCTTCAGGTTTGTTGGCCTATTGCTTTTAACAGTCCAGGATTCAGGGGGCCACTCTTGCAGTTCTCTGGAGCTCTCTTTCTGTGCAGCCCCTCCTCTCGGGTATCCTGGCTGCTTTGGGTCCCCCTCTTCTCAGCTACACTGACTGTGCTGGGCTCAACTTGGAGTTCCCCTCCCCGAGCCTCAGCCTGGAAACTATGTCAGGGCAGTAAAGTGGGCTGGGGCCTGGAGCAGGAATGGCCACTTTGTTTGTTTCCCTGTCAGTAATGTTTCCCTTCTGACAGTCCTACCCTGCGGTGCCCAATGCCAGAAGACAGTTTCGTTTCCTATCTTTTATCAGGTCTTCTAGTTGTTTATGGCAGGACGGCAGTTTTCACAGCAGTTATTTCTTCATGGGCAAAGTGGAAGGCCCCAGTGGTTTTTAATGACTGTTGAGCAGAATTCTCCCCACAGATCACTCTCTGGAATGACACGTGGGAACTCTGTGAGCAGATCTTGCCAAGGAGGACGCAGAGAGGACTCTGGCCATTTTCAATGGAGAACTCTTTGTAAACCTCATGGGGTTTTTTTTGTTTGTTTGTTTTTAATTTGACTTGTGCCCAGGCCAGTTCTCTTGGATAATTTTGTCTCAGTATCTGCCATCAAGTTCCTTCTCTTCTCTTTCCTGAATTTTGCCACTTACATAAACATTACCTGTGAGTCATTGGCTGTAGCCTGGCTATTTTTACTCTGTTTTTCTAAATTGCTCCCCGCCCCTTTGAGATGAACATTGAGTACGTGCTGGCAAAGATAAATTTCATGCCTCTGTTTGGAATTTGTGATTAAAACAGAGGAGTGTGTTTCTTGTTTCCAGAGAGGCAGTATGAGTTCTGTGACTAGGGTTTTGTTTCTTTGAGGACCTTGGCTGCACACGCCAGTAGGGCCGAAGACAGCACGTGCAAGCCAAGAGCACACACGGCCACCTCTCGACAGTTGGCCTGGCCGTGCCCACATTAGTCTTCGGGATATCTGTCACACAGGGTTTTCAGAGAAGGCTAGGATGGCCCCGACGTGTTGTGAGGACCTTCTAGTCCGTCGGAAAAGGAGTACATCAGGAAAGGTGACGTTTGCTGTCCCTCCTTCCTTTCCACGCTGTGCTTTCCCTGTCACAAAGGCTTGAGCGAGCAGTTGCCAAGAACACGGAGCAGGATGCTGCCTCCAAATCACACACCTAAATCACGTGTTTGGAACACAGCGGTTAAGGACACCGGGCAGACCTGGGTATGAATCCCAGCCCCGCCTCTCGTTAGCTGTGTAACCTCACACGGCCCATGTAACCGCTCTGAGCATCCACTTCCTCTTCATGAAATGGGGCCACCCCGAGGCTTGTGGTGAGGATTAAAGGGAGCGATGCAAGGAAAAATCCTGACCGAGGGCATCAGTGTGTGTTATTAGTAGGGTGACCGCACATCCTGGTGGCCCTAACATGTAAATTAATCACTCTCAAAAATATCCTGGTTTCAACAGCCAATTAAACAGTCCCCCTAATTATGAGTTAGTGTTAGCTATTCTCAGAATCTTTGTTTTAATTCTATCAGTGTTAGTTATTCTATTCATTTAGGCCAGTTTTGAGGGCCACTTTACCCTCTAAGGACTGAAGGATGAATAGACCCCCACCTTTGTCAGTTTAACCAACTGTGGGCTGAGGGAGGGGGATTGGGGCAGAGTGACACTCTGTCATGATGGGTCACAGAGGATGGAACTTTTGGGGTTGAAGGATGAGCTTGCAAAATTGACCAGGACGTAACACGTTCTGCAAAAGGTTGGGAAGATGTGGGCCAAAGGTGGAATGTGTTGTGCAGCCCTCATATCCAGGGAATTCCTTTGCAGCACTACCTGTGAGAGAGAACATTTGTGTGTTGGAAGCAACCAAATGTTCACCAGTCACAGGAAATTAAGGAAGTTTGGGTCTGTTCTCAAAATGGAATCCTGTGCAGCCGCTGAATAAATGAATTTGACCTATTTGTGCTGCCACAGAAAGAACTCCAAGATGTATTGTTAAATTTTAAGAAAGAAAATTGGAACACCGTGTATTCATCCTTTCTACAAATATTTATTAAATGCCTATCCTGTGCCGAGAACTGTCCTTGGTACTGGGGATGCAGTAGTCAGCAAGACAAGAGCAGAAGAAAGACCGTTCTTTCGTAAACCCATACGGTAACTTCAGGTAGTGAGAAGTGACAGGAAGGAGAGAAATCAGAGCCATGTAATAGTGGCGTGGGGGGGCAGACACATCATGCCTTAGGGGATCAGGAAGGTCTCCTCAAACAGGTGGCACCCAAGCTAAGACCTGCATGGTGAGAAGGGAGTCAGCCAAGGAAGGGTCTGGGGCAGGAATGCTGAGCAGTGCTAAGTGTCCCAGATCAACATGAGGGAACTTGACGCCCTCCAGGAAGAGCAGGAAGTACAGCAGGCTGAGGCACAGGGGTAAGGACCCCAGCCCACGGGGTTCTTAGGCCCGAGAAGGAGTTGGGATTCTGTTATATGTGCAAAGGCAGGTCAGTGTCGGGAGGCCTTTTAAAGATCCCTCTGCTGGTGATAACATGCCGTGTACCTAATGCAATCCTATTTATTGCTTTTTAAAGATAGATAAGCTTTATAATGGCATAGGAAAAGAACTGGCAATCTGTATAGGGAACTGTTAACAGTAGTTACCTCTCTAGGCGAGGTGATGTGAATGGAGATTCTCTTGTTTTACTCTGTACCTCGGAGTCTGGATGTTTTAAAGCAAACTATGTTTATTTTGAGGTAATTAGCAAAGAAAACTGACTATGGTCTGATCCAGACTTCAGGAAGTTCATCATATTTTACCTACAGTAAGGCACGGTACACTGGAAGTCGTACCACATGACACGTTTCACCTTCTGCCTTTGGACTTGAATCTCTATTCATCGCCATGCTTCATTATGTTTAAAATAGTGAGTTTAACTGAGACTAGAAATAGATTTCCCCTCTCCCTCCCTCCCCCTTTCCTTCCTTCCAAGAAGCTGACCTTTTTACTGCACTGTTATTTACATCCCTAAATGATTTTGCCTTCTAGAAGAAGTACACGTGTCAGAAATTCTTCCAGGGCATTTTTTTTTTTTAATGTTTATTTTTGAGAGAGAGAGACAGCGTGAGCAGGGCAGGGGCAAAGAGAGAGGGAGACACAGAATCTGAGCTGTCAGCGCAGAGCCCGATGCAGGGCTCGAACTCACAGACCGCGAGATTATGACCTGAGCCAAAGTCAATGCTCAACTGACCTAGCCACCCAGGCGCCCCAAGGGCATTTTTTAAAATACCCAGGCCCTTTGTCTCTGTAAGTGAGCCCATTTGCGCCATTTTCCCTGTGGTGTTTTTACAGCATGTGTGGAGGGCACCTGCAGGGGGTGAAGGTGGTCTGGGTGGCGGAAAAGCTACCTGCGCTTAGGGAGCACTCAGGGCAGACACTTGAGCTGCCCCTTGGGCTTTTGCACCCTCTGCTGACGCTGACTCTTCCCTTTCCCCAGAACTCGAGAGATGTCCCCACCTCAGACTAGCCTGGGGTAACGGCGGTGGCTGGCTGTTCACTCTTGCGTTGGACAGAGGGCTCATTTTCATATGGTCCAAATTCAGCCTCCAGGTGGGGTTTGTTTATCTATACGGAAAAGTTGTTAATATTTGAGTTGGTTGTCGTCATTAGAAGCTGGGAGATTTCCCATAAGAAACAGATTTCTGGCATTTCTCAAAAAGCCAGAAGGGAGACTCGTCAGCGCTTAGGCCCCCCACCCACAGGGCTGCCATCAGAACCTTGTAGGTGGGCTTGTGTCTTCTTCGCCCACGTGCTGGTCACCCTTTTTTTATTTTTATTTTTATTGTCTGGCCTCTAGAGATTCTGTTTCCAAACCCTGGCCTAGGGCACCAGACTGAGCAAGCCAGCCAGACCCCTTCTGGGCTATGCTTGTCCCCTTGCTGCAGAGCGCTGAAGCAGGGCGGGCCCGAGGGTGGGCAGGAAAGGTCCCTGGGGCTCTGGCAGCGGGAGCTAGCATTCAGTCCCAAGGCAGCTCCCACATTCTGCTGTCACGTCTGACTTCCCAGAGCCTTTGGCTTTCTTGGAGTTGTCATTTAATGTTGGGACTCCACCGGGTGGTGATGACCTCTGTGGGTGGGACAACAATGCCGGTGGAAGGCCACTCGTGTCACAACCCATACGGGACTCAGGCTCCTCTGGGGCTGACCTTTACTTCAAGGTGAGCACTGCAAGGTCTCAGCTTTGCCAGTGAGTTGATAACCCTTCTCGAAGCAGACTGGCGAAACAAAACCCCTTGGAAGCCCAGAAGCTAGAAACTTTTTGCCACTGGACTGTGATGCTAAGGCTCAGGTCCGTAAAAACTGAAGTGTGTCTGTGCCTCTGTTCGTGATTGAGCCTCAGTTTTCTCATCTGGACATTGGGACTGACAGCACCCACTCATGGATCCATCAGGGGCTAGTGAGGACAAGCCGCGTCCAGTGCCCGTCACAGAACCAGGGCTGAACAGGCGTGGGCAGTCTCTCAGCTGTTCAGTGGAGTCCCACACCCAGCCTCTGGTCTCTCCCCTTTTTCTCGTTGCTTTGCCTTCCCTGTATTTTGTTGCAGCGTCAGAAAGGGTCAGCAGTCTGGAAGGTCACCTGCAGGAGCGGACTGGGAAAAGAGCCGGAGGCTTTCTTGTGTGTGTTTTATCTAGCGGAGCAGTGGCTCAGAGCGACTCTTGACCTGCAGAGTCCTCTCGGTGCCCGTCCTCTCCTTTCCCTGTCCCATCTTGCCAGGTGTGCCTTATGGGAAACATTGCTGGAATTTTCCTGCCCAGCCTCCTCTGTAGGAAAGAATGAAAGAGCAAAGGAATTTGCTGTTTCCCAAGAGGACTGGGAGATAACCTGGCTCTGCCTCGGCTCTCCCTCAGGCCAGCAATGCCTGGTGTGCCGCACGCAGAGGGGGCCTGCCTGTATTTGGAGGGTATTGTTTAGACCACAGGCTGAGCCCTTGAAATGTCTCCGATGCAGTTCTGTGATCACCCTTTTCCAAATGGAGAGTCAGCCAGTAATCCCTGTCTGTCTGCAGAGTGGCAGGAGTGAGTTAAAATTTTGCGTATAAATTTTGACTTGTAATTCATATATTTGGGCACCTTATTTAATGCCTTTGTAAAAGTCTCAGCTTCCTTACATGAAGACGAGACCCCCTTTCTGCTGCTGAGGCAGAGGGCAGCACTGAGAGGTAACCCAAGCACAGAGCTTTGGGAGTAGTTAGGGGCAGTGGGCAGATGCAGAGATCAGTCCTGAGTGACCAGTAGAAGGGGTGGACTCTCTTGTGGAGCTTTAGACAAAGGACAGAGGGGCGCCTGGGTGGCTCAGTTGGCTGAGCGTCCAACTTCAGCTCAGATCATGATCGCACGGTTCATGTGTTCGAGCCCGTGTCGGGCTCTGGACTGACAGCTTGGAGCCTGGAGCCTGCTTCGGATTCTGTGTCTCTCTCTCGCTCTCTGCCCCTCTCCCACTCACACTCTGTCTCTGTCAAAAATGAATAAATGTTCAAAAAAAATGTTTTTTTTTTTTTAAGAAAAGACACATTGGGGCGCCTGGGTGGCGCAGTCGGTTAAGCGTCCGACTTCAGCCAGGTCACGATCTCGCGGTCCGTGAGTTCGAGCCCCGCGTCGGGCTCTGGGCTGATGGCTCAGAGCCTGGAGCCTATTTCTGATTCTGTGTCTCCCTCTCTCTCTGCCCCTCCCCCGTTCATGCTCTGTCTCTCTCTGTCCCAAAAAAATAAATAAACGTTAAAAAAAATTAAAAAAAAAAAAAAAAAAGAAAAAAAAATTAAAAAAAAAAAAGACACATAGCCTTTTATTGTCATTCTTCTCTGTTTATATTTTAGGAGTAACTCCTGGTGATTATGGGAAAATTAAAAATTAAATAAAAATCCACCCATTCTCCACATCCATTCTCATGCTCCCTTTCTTCCCCAAGAGTGGTTCACCTGCACCCCTTCTCTCCATGGGTGATGCAGACAGCTCACGCCTGTTCAGCCCTGGTCCTGTGATGGGCACTGTACGTGGCTTGTCCCCATTCCCCTCTGACAGCTCCATGAGTGGGTGGTGTTAATCCCACTGTCCAGATGAGAAGACTGGGGCTTGGAGAGGGGAAGAAGCTTGGCCTGAGGTCACCCAGCCTCGGGAAGGAAGCTGCCAGGGAGGGGGGCCTTTAGCATTTCTCTACAACCTCTGGGAGGCCCCAGCTATTCTATTTTTTGCCTTTTTTTTTTTTTTTTTTCTGAAAACACGTAATCCCAGAGGGTCCAGTGACTTGTAGAAAAGTGTGATATTATTTGCGTATCACGTAGCAGGTGCTTTTCTGCTCTCCTCATGTCTGCTTTGCCTCTTGCTCCCTCGCTAGGCATCATGGCCATCCTGTTCTCGGGCATCGTGATGTCCCACTACACGCACCATAACCTGTCCCCGGTCACCCAGATCCTCATGCAGCAAACCCTGCGGACCGTGGCCTTCCTGTGCGGTGAGTTCTGCTCTGTGTGGTTCTGCGCAGGCCTGCCCACAGCTCACTGCTCTGCCACACCCTGCGGGAGGCCTCAGATTCTCCCTCTCAGGAGAGACGACAGAATTCCTCAGAGCCACATACTGCACTCCCTTATCTTTTGTTTGTTACCCTGGCTTTCAGATTCCATAATGTAAACCTAAGTCCTGAGAACTTTCTGGAACATTTGATGGCCTACAATTTTAAGACTAAAAATAATGAGACGCATATGTTTGTAATGTTTTAAAGTGACAGTCCCAAAAATGTGTTCCTTGGCACTGGCATTGGTGAGGGTTAGGTGGGAAAAGACTTCCCAGTCCGACAAGAGTCTGGAAAATCCTGGGGAAAATACAGTTTCAGCTTGTGAGCTGCAGGAGCATCTTGAGTTACTGAGGAGGGGGGTGGGGAGTATAGTTAGAGCATTTCCCCAACCTGTCCACAGGCCCCTTTTCCGCTAGAGCGGCTTGAAGGACACGATCCAGGAGCTCGTACACTGATGCTCTCACTGTCGGGCGGGGCCTGCTATGAGGACTGTTTCTGTCAAACAGTTTCAATGTGAGCTCTTGCTCCCCCATACTCTGTACCTCCCTGCCTCCTCCCTAGTTAAGAGCCGGCAGCAAAGGACACACGCTCACACGGTCCCTCCCCTCCGGCTTCCCGGGTGGCAGGGCCCTGGCATCATCGCCAGCATCTGCCTGGCACTGCGGCGGGGTTCGTCTCATTTCCGAGCACAGGCGCCACACCGTCATGTGCTGGGAGGCAGGGCCAGGCCGTGCAGAGGCTTCCTTCTGCAGCCCAGGGGGTTCACATGCCCAGAGGTCAGATGACCTGCCCGCGGTTAAGAATTGATTCTGGAATCCAGGTCTGTCTCTTCCTGGTCCGGGGGGGTCTTTTTTCCACAACGTCCGACTCACAAAGTCCTAGCCAGGGACGCTGAGCCTGACTCTCACAATTCAAGTAATATAAAGCAAAACACCCATCTATTTTGTACCCACCGGACTGGCATATCTTTAGTTTGCTAATACCCACTTCCACCGTGGGCATATGGAACACAGGCCCCACTGACATGTGTGGGCACTGATGCCATCTTCTGTGGAGAATCATTACAGCATCAGGCTGGGTTTCAGAGCCGTATGCTCTTTGACCCAGCAATGCTCCCATCAGGAATTTAGCCTGGACATTTGTCATAACTGGTAACAGCAGAAACAGAAACAGCTTAAGTATCTATTGGTGGAGGCTTTGTGAAATGAGCCATGACATACCGACATAATGGAATGTGTGCTGCCAGGGAAAAGCGTAACATAGATCTGAGTAAGTTCTAAATGAGCTTATTTGGAAAGATCACAAAAATGTTTATTAGATAAGAAGAAAATTCAGGGAGAAGGGTGGGAGCAGCTTGTGCACTTGCTTTAAAAAGAGACACGTTTGGAGGAAAAACATGGCTGAAATGTTTTAAAACAGCCTCTGTTGTAGGATGTTCAGCTATTTTAAAGTGCAGTCTTTGTCTCCCTGATTATTAGACTATTCTGGGGGACATCACAAGTTGAGCAGGGAGACTAGTGCTGGAAATTCATACGATGCTTTTTCTTGGGATACACAAGTGCCTGCTTGCACAGACAGTAGGTGTCAGGCTCTTTCTGACTCGTGGGGTGAAGCCAAGAGTTGGAAATACCCCCCTTGCTGCAGACCCTGCGGGCGTAAGCCATCTTCCCAACCCTGTGGCGGCATTAACTACATGAAGTCGAGCATTTAGCTTAGTCCGCCCCAGCAAGGAAGTCAGCAGAGGGCCCTTTCCACATTAGTTATGTGGTGTCTGCGGCCATTTGCTCTGAATTTTTGCCGCTCTGCTGTAGTCGTGATCCTTGCTAATCACAGTGTTCGACAAATAGACAGGTTCGTGTGTTCATCATCTTCCCGGGTGGGAGAGTATTGATTTGCATGCGTTTGACAGTGGACCCACTGCCTGGGGAGATTCTGAACAAGCACGGGTTGTGTGTGTGAGAGGGAAGAACGGAAGACGCCAGGCACACGTTCCACCAGGATCTCGGCTGCAGGATTTTCCAGAGAATAAGCAGAGTGTTACAGTGGGCTCTCACTCGCCGTGAAATGTTTGCTTGCTTAACAATTTAGTACTGTGTTAGAAGAAAATAGTTGGGGCTGAATAATCCATTCTTTGGTTTGTTTCAGAAACATGTGTGTTTGCATTTCTTGGCCTGTCCATTTTTAGTTTCCCTCACAAGTTTGAAATTTCCTTTGTCATCTGGTGCATAGTAAGTATTTTCCTTGTTTTTTATTTAATTACTTATTTGTAGATCAATAACCACATGTTCTGGATTCATTTATGTAACTGTTAACTGTTCAAGGTCAACAGCTACATAGACACTCTTCTGTTTAAAGTTTCTTTTGTTAAAAAATCACAAACATACAATAACAGGAAAAGGGATGGAATTAAGTGAATGAATATCCCTGGGAATGAATTTTTACTTCTTTTTAAATTTCAAACGGCCTTGAATTTATGGTCTTGTCTAAAAAGTAAAAGTTTATCTGTTTTCTCTGGTGGTAAAAGCAGATCTCAGAATTGGAACACATAATTGATCATAACCATGTAAAAACATCATGCATAGAAACAAAAACCATGTTAAAAGATAGAGCTCAATGTTCACAGTGGTTATAGAATTGGGCATGATTTTCTTTTCTGCTTTTTCTGGATAATTTATAACGCATATATTTACTCATTACTGTAATTTTCTTCCAATGTGTCCATTTTGGAACGTGACCTTGGACACTTGTATGAAGTAAAGATTACCAGGCCCTTACCTCCCCGGAGGTTCACCCAGAACAGTCGTCCCAGGTGATTCTTACCATTCAGAAGGTTTGGGAAACTTATCAGTGGATTCGAGGCGGCAGGAGGAGACAAATTAAAATATACCTTTAAAAAGGGAAAAGAAAAGCTCACAGTAGAATAAAATCTTTTGGAGAATGGAGTGGGGGAGAAGAAATGTTTAGCATTTAAAACAAAGGTCCAGCTCCCTCGGGCGTCTGATGGAAGTGACACGAATGGCTTCTAACATGTGGGCATTTAGCCTGGCGCTCCCAGGCCCGCCTTCCCTTGGTGTGAGCTCACCTCCCATAGGCCCGCCTGCTGATTCCTACTGTAATCCCTAATTTCATCTTTGTTGTCCTTTTAGATCCACTGTTAATTTAAGACATGTGAGAACACACCTTGTTGCTGAATCGTCATAATTCATCTTCGGTTAGCTTTTATTACCAATGCCACTTAACAAAACCCAGCTGTTGAGAGGCAGGCTTTTTTTAGCACTTTCACCTACCGTGTGCAAACCAGTGAGGCCTACCTGTTTGGCATGGGGGGAAACTGAGGCACAGAGAAGCTAAAGAACCCTGAGGAAAAGTGTTTCTCCTTGCAGCAAGAGCCCTTTGCTTTTGTCACTGTTATCTGTCCTCCGAACTCAGGTTTCAGGACAAAGAGAACAGCAGCAAGAGCCATTTACAGAAAGTCTAGCAGCCTTCAGTGTGGTCCCTGGGTAAAAGGGGCCACATGTGGTCAAACCCGAAACCCACGTGCGGGAATGAAAGATCAGATTTCATTGGGTGAAACCGAGATGGCTCTCTCGGCCGTGGGCTGCGAGCAAAGGGAAAAAGGGAAGGTGCTCCGGAGGGGGAGCTGGGGCTCCCCCACCGCTGCCGGAGGCTTCCCCGTGCTATTCAGACGGGTCACCTTCCGCTTACTCAGTGGTCAAGGGCACGGGCTGTCGGGGCTGACCAGGTTTGGGACATGGCTCCACAACGTCCTGCCTGGGTCAGCTTGGACCTGTTACTTAACTTCTCTGTCTCCGCTTACTCCTGAAATGGAGACGGTAATACCTGCTTCATAAGCATATTGCAGGGATCTGAACTGAACAAGATAGAATGCATAGAAAATGCTTAGCACAGTGTCTGACATAGAAATGTTACGTGATTGGGAGCCATTGTTATTAACTCGGCCATCCGAGGCACACAGTCCAAAGCAGGCTCAGTTTGTGCTTGTTAAAAGAATAAACTTAGAGTCTACCGAATGTACACATGTGTATCGTATGTATGTTATTTTAAGTTAGTTTAGTGAGAACCAACATGAAAACAAAGAGAGCAAATTAACAGTAGTGCTAGGTATCCACTCAGACAAGATTTAAACCTTATCGAAAGCTGTATTTTGTTAAGACTGACTTTGGAGATGGTTAGGAGCCAAAAGCCATGGCAAGCAACTGACCAGACAGGGTGTGCGTGACCTCCTTCTAGAACATACCTACACATTCCTTTTGCTTGGAGAGCAGCATTTACGAGAAGCATCACGTGGGCCCTTCTCAGTGATCCCTCATTTCCCTGAGGAGTGGGGCACCCACGGGAGGGTGAGGAGCACCTTGTCTGTCCCTCCAGAGCTAGCCCATTGGGAACGATTAGCGCAGGCCCGTCCCGTGGCGGAGCACCTTGGGAGGAGTGAGATTGCCCCTAAATTAATCTCTGGACGGTTTGGCCTGGCCTCTTGCCATTCAGTTTGGTTCTGCTCTCATAACCGAAGCCGGCTTGGATGCCTTGTCAGTCGTCTCTTTCTGGCGACGGAAACATGACGTACAAAGTGCTCTCCTTTCCCAGCACGCCCCAGCTGGCTCTCTGCCTAGCACTGTCATTCATGTCTCTCATGGCCAAGGGGAAGGCTGTGTTTATTACGGGTGTGTCACAAGATCTGTGTTAGCTTCAACAAGCTTGAACTCGGAAGACCAGAGGTTTCTGAGACTTAGTTGGTTGTTATTCACAGGTACTTGTACTGTTTGCCAGAGCGGTGAACATTTTCCCTCTTTCCTACCTCCTGAATTTCTTCCGCGATCATAAAATCACACCGAAGATGATGTTCATCATGTGGTTTAGTGGTAAGTCCAACGCTGAATGAACAGTGGAAGCAAAACACGTCGTATAAAGGCACACGTCGTGTAGAGAGAGCCCTTTGACGATGAGCAGGCCTCAGAAGGCAGAAACCATACGAGCTCCCGCTAAACAAGCACCTACTGTAACCCAGGCCCCGGGCGAGTCCCTTGCAGACAGGACCCCTCACAGCCTCGGTGCCATGAGTAAATGGGTAGAGTGCACATCTCCCCCACACGTGAGGAGGCTCAGGCTCGAGGGCAAAGGCCTTGACTGGAGTCGGGGGACGACAGGAGGCAGAGCCAGTATTTCCTGTCTCTCTGTCCCTGCTCCTCTGGACAGACAGGGCCGCCCGGGGGGAGATGCGAGGCACAGCTCTCACCTGCCTGCAAGTAACGAAGGGCTCAAAATACAAAAGGTCTGTTTAAACTTTTTTGCCAGTACAGGCTGGGTTTGGATATTTTTTTAATTTAGTCACTGAGTTCTGAGAGTCGATTGGAACATTTTAGTTTCTGTGCAGATTCCTCCACCTTTTAAAGGATGGGAATGATTTCCTATTTGGTACCTAATGAACTGGCTCCTTAGGCATCTTTAAATTTGTTTTTGAGCAATATGTCCAGCTCTTTGTACTTTCTTATTTAAATAATATAATTTAAATATTCCACTTGGGTCGGGGTATAGCAACATGCCTTATAAGCTGTTCTCTACTCAACAGCGTTCTCTATAATTCCTCACAGATTTCTCTCCTCTTTCAAAAGGCCTTGTTTAAAATATTTATGTGTGTCTGTGCGAGGTATGTATGTATGCAGAGCAAGAGAAACTTTTTTCTCAATCTTTCTTGCCAGTGAGAAAAAAGTTTTTGTAAAGTAGTTAGTTGATTTCAAAGAACATCTAAGAGATGTTGTATCAGATATTTTACATGTTACGTGAGCTTTGTGGGAGAGGGGCGCAGGCTAAGAGACCTCTGTGGCACGGGGCGTGCTGCTTTAAACAGTGAGGGCTGTTGACCCCAGCGATTTTTCTGAGCCCCTTCCCCACAGATTTTCACCCTCTCTTTGCTGGATCCTCAACCTCTGTCTCTACTGAAGCATCATCATTGAAACTCTTGAAGATTCTTCTCTTTGCCTCCAAAAACCCAGCAACTTCAACCCAGATCCCTCCCACACACCCCCTCCAGCTGCTTCCCGTCTCCCATCGCAGCCAGACCTCTTTAAGCGGGCTGTCCTCACCTGTTTTCTTCACTCTGTCACCCCCTGTTCACGGGGCTGAACTTGGCCTTGCCCAGGTCACCAGCGACCTTCTGCAGCCAGACCTGGTGGGCACTGGGTAGCCCTGGTCCAGCCCAGCTCCATGGCTTTGAGCTCCTTCTTCCCACCGACCTGCTTTCTGCCCGGAGACCCTCTTCCCTGGGCCTCCGGGCCATGCTCCTGGTTGCCCTCTTTTCCCTTTGGGGTCTCCACAGTTGCCCTCTCCTCCTTTATAGACCCCTCAGTATTGGCTTCCTCAGGACTCAGCCGCAGACCTGCTGCTGCTCTTGTGTTCCCACAAGCTCACTCATCCTGCGGCAGTTCCCATACTCCCAGAGCTGTTTGCTCTTAGATCCTGACTCCTGTGTCTAAATCCTCCTTCAGTGCTATGGAGACCCTGCGATCTCATTGTCTAGGACTGAACTTACCTTTCTGCCCATCCTGCTTCTTTTCCAGCATCCCCTTTCCATGGAAAACAATAATGTGTATTACAACAAACGTGTGGCTAACTCAGTGTTTGCTGTGTCTACACCTGTCCTGTTCCAAGACATTTTATCCTCAGGCCACCCACCTGGCAGGCCCTGTTTTTAGTCCCGTGTGACAGGTTGAGAGGTTGAGTTGAGTCTCTCGCTTTAACCTGAGAGGCCTGGGGGAAAGCAGCGCATTAGGGGGTAAATCCAGGAGCTAGACTCCAGACCCTGTGCCTAGACCACTCCTAGGACGCCCCACCATCGTCCGTGCCCTTCCCTTCCTCGGCCACCCCACCTCCCGCTCGCCCCTGTGGCCTGTTGCTTCCACTCTCCATGTCTCTCTTAATGCCATCCCCCTGCTGTGTCCCCATCTTGGGTCTACACTGCTCCTGTGGTCACACCCCCATCATGCTGTGATGCTCCAGCCTCCGTGTCCGGACCAGATCCTTCACTGTGTGCCCCCCCCCCATTCCCCCTTCTTCTGGCGCTCACCAGCTCACGGGTCCTTGTCTGAGGTCTCCCCTCCCTGGGACCTCCCCTCTCTGGCACCAGGCAAGCCAGGAATTTTCCCAGGAAGTGCTGTTTTCCAGCTCAGTGTAGCCCTTCAGCCCAGCTAGCAGCCTTGCGGGGGACCACACCAGGAAGGAAGAAGGGAAGAGTTCACGAAGCAGTTCCCAGCAGCCTCTGGCCAGCAGCAGAGCAGCCCCGAGCCTGTCAGGAGCTGTGCAAGGGCAGCATCTTCAGAAACCAGGGGCTGCTGTTGCCTTCTTTGTGTGGCCCCGGGAGGACATGTCTTTCTCAGTCTCAGTTCCATATCTATCTATCTATCTATCTATCGTGAAGAAATGGAGGATCAGCTTTACTGGCTCTCCTGTGAAGGCCCAGCGAGATTGTGTGCGCAGAGCCCTTAGCACAGGGCCTGGCACACACACGGGGAGTGTGAGCCCTAGGCTGGAGGATTCTCACGCATGCACATCTGGGGCTTCGTGGCCCGGACAGGTCACCTCCTGTGAGCTGCTTGGCCACCTTGTGAAGTGGGAGTGGCATGAGCTCAGGTCCCACTTCTCTGCAGCCTGCTCTCCTCACACCCCTGAGCCTCACGGGAGGACCTCGCACTCGGCAGTGGGGTGCGTTAGAATGTGCGGCCGGCCTGAAACGGGGCCGTCCCCGGATTGCCAGGGCGCCCGGTCGGTGACGCAGCTCCCTCCTCCCTGTGCGTCTCCTCTGACCCCCTTCCCTGCCCCCAGGCCTGCGGGGGGCCATCCCCTACGCGCTGAGCCTGCACCTGGACCTGGAGCCCATGGAGAAGCGGCAGCTCATCGGCACCACCACCATCATCATCGTGCTCTTCACCATCCTGCTGCTGGGCGGCAGCACCATGCCCCTCATCCGCCTCATGGACATCGAGGACGCCAAGGCGCGCCGCAGGAACAAGAAGGACGTCAACCTCAGCAAGACAGAGAAGATGGTGAGTGCCGCGTGGGCCGGGTCGGGGGCAGGGGCTTGGTCTCCACCGCAGCTGGGAAAGGGGGGAACGAGACACGATTTGAGGACCTGAGCACCTACGCACGCACACACGCACGCACGCACGCACGCAGAACCAGAATTCCGAGGGGGAGCCTGGGGGGCCCAGCGTTTTGTGGATTCCCAAGCCCTCCCGGTGATGCTGATGCGGCCGGAGTTTGAGAACCACCGACCGCCTCACAGCATCCACATGCCCTCCCCGCCCCTCCCCCCTCCTGCACCCGCACCACCGCCCAGGCCCGCCAGCGCAGGCCACGTGGCTGTGGCTTCAGAGCCACTCCTCCAGCAGAGCAGCAGATGCCACGTTCATACTCTGGTGGCCTTTGGTCATCCCTGCGGAGGGTGGGCCTGTCCTGGGCCTGGGGCCTGGAGCGGTGCTGACCTAGATCCAGTGACCTGACACCGCCTCCCCCTCCAGACCGGCCCTGCCACGCTACTCGTTCTCATTGCCCTCCAGTTCCCACCAGGACCGTTCCCCGCCCCCCACGCTGACCAGGAGACGCCGGCCCAGGGCAGAACCACAGCTGGTGCAGCTATGGGCAGAAATGACAAAAGAGCCTCCCTTGTTCCGTTTTCTGGGAATGAAATAACCTAGGTGGCAGTTCCCAGTCCTGCCTGCACATTAGAATCACCCTGGAAAGCTTACAGACCAAACCCCGGCCCACACATACATTCTGGTTTATTCATAATTCTGGTTCATCCCTGGGTATCCATCGTGTTTTCACAAACCTTCCCGCCTCCCCGTGGGCTCCCAGGAGGCGCTTTGCTGGCCACAGACACCCCGCACTGATGCGAAAGCACAGTTAGGGCTGGGGACGCTGGTGGCCGGAAGTGAAGGGCCGCTGGATGGGCCGGGTGGTGTGTGGGGTCCCCCAGGAAGACGCCCGCTGATGACCCCCAGACTCCCTCCCCTCCCCCCGCAGGGCAACACCATCGAGTCGGAGCACTTGTCAGAGCTCACAGAGGAGGAGTACGAAGCCCACTACATCAGGCGGCAGGACCTCAAAGGCTTCGTGTGGCTGGACGCCAAGTACCTGAACCCCTTTTTCACGCGGCGGCTAACTCAGGAGGTGGGACACTGGCCCGCGCCCCCCAGCTGAGGGTCCCTCCCCTTCCTCCCTCAGGACCTGCCGTGGCCAGGAGCGGGTGGGCAGCGGGGAGCCGGCCGGGCCAGCTCCCCCCTACTCGGCCCCCTCCCCAGGCCGGCAGCTGGATGCGCTGTGGAACTCAGCATCTGCTGTTTTTCCTTCACTGCCATTTTTAGCGCTAGTTTAATAATAGACTCGTCAACAGTTTGGTTTTCCTGGGTGATAGACTCAGGACATTGATCGGCTACTGTGTCTGAGCTGAAAATTTCGAACATGCGGGGCCTCAGGCATTGATTTAGGGCTCTTGTTCCATCCCCCTGGGCACAGCTGTCCTCTGGGTGACAGTGACACAGTCTCCTGGGGACCAGCCTGGGCCTGCTTTGCCGAAACTGCCATCCGGCCCCACCTTGTTTCTGAGCCATTTTCCCTCGCCGGCGGTCATGATCGCCGTCAGTCAGCGAGGGAGCTCTTGCCGAGCCGGGTGTTGTGCCAGATGTTAATCATTGTAGCTGCGTTTCATCCTCCCGACATCTTGTGTCATGGCTGCAGCTGCTCTTTGACTAGACACTGGGGAGACTGAGGCCTAGAGAGGTGACCTAACCACCCGGGGTCACACAGCTAATACATGGCAGAGGTGGAAGCAGAGCCCAAGTGTGTCTGATTCCAGAAGCCATGTTTTTTAACATCACGCCATCCTGCCGCCTACTCCGGCTTCTGGGTGACACCCCCTGTTAATCTTACCCCTACAGAGAAAAATCCCAGCTTCAGTTAGTCGGTTAAGACTTTGAAATTGCCCGTGGCCACGTACCCTGCCTCCCTGAGGTATAAAGCAGCCCCTCCCCCCCCACCACCTTCCTCAGCCCTAACCCTGACCTGACCCAGACCCACTGATGAGGGCTTGGCTGTGTCTTCTGCCCCAGGACCTCCACCACGGACGTATCCAGATGAAAACCCTCACCAACAAGTGGTACGAGGAGGTGCGCCAGGGCCCCTCTGGCTCTGAAGACGACGAGCAGGAGCTGCTGTGATGGAGCAGGGCGCCCGGTCGGGCCCCCCCCACGGCTCCCGGGACAGACACTCCGCGAAGGCCCCCGGTGCTGCTTGCATCGGGCGGCCTCCTCAGGGCAGATGGAGGCGGGGTGAAGCAAAGGCCACGGTCCTCTTAAACCAGGCGTCCCCGGCCCTTGGAGCCAGCTGTCTGCTTCGGAAACAGTCATCCCCCCAGGCCTCAACTGAGCCGGACCTCTACTCGCCATGTTGCTTCTCAGCTCGCAGATCAGAGGGACCACGTGTCCAGGTAAATTCTCCTTCTCTTCTGCACCCAGGGCGAGTAGTCCTCTGCCAAGCTGCGGCGCGTGAGGAGAGAAATGGCGCTGCGGAGCCCGGCCGTGACCGGGGCGGCCGGGGAGCGCCGGCTCGCAGCTTCCGCCGTTCCCAGCCACGGCCTTCGTCCCAGGAGCACCTGCTGAGGCCGGGATGGGTGTCTGTTCTACCGGGGCGAGGAGCCAGCCGTTTCCCCTTGGTCATCGAGGTGCCTCCGGCCTCAGCAGCAGCAATTCTGACCTAAGTGCTGGGCTCCGAAATCTGGAAAATGTCACACTCCCCTCTGTGATGTTGCTTGCACTCCTTGAGAAAGAAAAACCGAGTGACAAACTTCGTTACCTACGATTGGCCCCTCGCGGGCTGTCTCCCTGTGTGGCAGGCGGTAGCTGCCCTTCTCTGGGAATACGGTGAATGTTCACGCCGGTATGGAGCAGGGGCACATGGGCCCTTCTCGAAAGCCCCATTGGAAGCTTGGGTTTTGGGGTGAGGAAGCCTAGTCTGTGGGGTCAGAGCGCCCTCTGGAGGGAGAGGCTAGCGTTACAGGGCTTATGCAGGCCGGCATCTGCTGTCTTCTAATTGAGTTTAAATTCATGCACTTTGACGAAGTAGTGAGAGCCTAGCAGTTACCTCCCTCACTCGGTGGACCTTATTGTCCATAGGCCCCATTTCCTGGGCTCCACGCAGTCTGCCCACCGTTTACCTGCTACCACCTTCCTTCCCTCTCCCAGTTCTTTTCCATCTTGGGTCCCAGCTCGCCCAAGAGCTGGAGCAGGGGCCAGAGCAGCAGCCCCCTGTGCTCCTCCCTGCTACCCTCACCCAGGACTCGCCCACGTGCACACACCCTGCCCTGTCCCCGTGGTCCCGGCCCCTGGGCCGTCTAGCAGGGGGAGCTGCCCATCATGTCCAGATGAAGTGGTCACCGACTTACACATCCGCGCCTCACACCTGCTAGCCTTCACCCATCTGTGGGCCAGTGGCAGATCCCCTATGTGGCTCAGGGGTCCCTGCCTTGGGACTCGGCACCCTCTGGCATGGTTTACTTCATCATGTGCGGTCCTTGGTTCTCTGTGGGGACACCGTGGGCCAGCACGGACCCTGGGCTGGCAGCACGTATGTTTCCATCTCTTCTGCCTCAGGCGGCAGGGCTCTGGACGTTAGCAAGGACTGAACTCTCCAGGTCTCTGCTGCCCAGCCCACCAGGCCAGGCCCCTGCCCAGACCCCTTCCCCTTTCCCGAAAGAGTGAGGCCTGTCAGGCTGGAAGCATATGGTTTCCTTTTTGCGCATTAAGAGTAAATCCGTACTTGATAGGGTTAAAACACGGCCATTTCTCTTTTTGTAACCTCCTACTCTAACCCCTTAATTTAAGCCAAACAGGAGCATTTTACTCCACCTCATACCTTCACTGGAGGAGTAATGCCATCATAATTCTGGCCTCCATCGTGTCCTACTTGCTTTTAGGGGAAAAGTAAAAGAAGAGGTCAAAGAGGGAGGGGACCTTGTCCACCCCTGGAGGGAGGTGGGCAGGGATCCCCTACTAGAGTGTTCTCTCATTCCCAAACCCAGAAGTAATCTTTCTTCCTTGAAATTCATGGTGTGATCTCAGAAGTGCAACTGGCATTGCAAACTCAATAGGTTACCAGAAAATTTAGTGGGGAGGGGGCTGTGAGTTCATAGATAATAGCAGTGAAAACAGGATCTCCTCGATTCAGACTGCCCCTTGTCACGAGGTCCCATCTGGCCTCCCACTTTTAGCTGAGACCTGAAAACGACACTGAAGTAGAGAAGGGTCCCCAGGGTGGAAAGTCCCCAGGGCCTGGCTCAGTGGGCAGGGGGCACCTTTCCTGGCAGTTACCAGCACCAGCTTGGGTCTCCTGTGATGGGTCTTCTGCCCCCCGCTGGCTCAGGGAGGTTTGGCAGGCTGTGCCCTTTGCCTTTGCCACACGCAGAGCTCATGGAGATGGGTTTTCCTGGTGGGTTTTTAAAAGTGTCTTTGCCTGAGAATCAGAAATGTGCTGTTGGCTACCTTTAGCATACCTAATAATTCTATTGGGGGCAATAAATGCCTAGTCGATTAAAAAAAAAATCCAGCATAACTCCCATTTCCCACAAATTTACTTCGTTCTGGGTCTAAGCCGTGGGACAGGGAAGCCACAGCACGTAGACAAGGTCACACTTTAGGGTGAGGTGAAGGCTGTAAAGTCAGTGAGGGCCTCTGGGGAAGCTGGCCAGTCAGCTAGTTAGCCAGTGAACTAGAAGACGTGCTTGCCTTGGGGAGCCATGTGGCAGCAAGCACCCCCCCCCCAAAAGCGCCTCCCCCCTCCACAGCAGGCCTAGTGATTTTGAACTCTTGAAATAAGTCACATGGCCTGTCGTTGTAGGACTCCTGGGAACGACCGTACCCCAAAGCTTGTGGTATGGGTGTTACAGGGAAAGGAGGCGGCTTGCCCTAGGTCCCCCAGAGATCACGTTTTGGGCTAGGCTAAACCAGGGCCAGGCAGGGGGAAGGTGGCACAGTTCCACAGTGTGGTGCTCACTCAGCCCAGCAGCTGAACCAGAAGCACAAACCTCCCACACCCAGGCCAGCTACCTCTCTTCACAGTGGAAATGCTGGCCAGGCCTTGGCTGATATAAGGCCAAGGGGCAGGGCCTGGCCCATAATGTCGGTGATCCCAGAGGACCCTAAGTCAGCCTAGAGGGGGTCCTGGTTTGCCTGCAGATTCCTTTGTGTGCCATGGAATGTGGAGAGATTCGTGAGTGGGGCTCCTCCTCCCCTCGGAACCTATGTCAGAGCTACAGACTTGGCCTCTGGCCTCGGGGGGTCTCGGTTCCACATTCCCACAGGGGCCTGCACATTTGGCAGAGTCCTCAGCGGGGTGGCCACAGCCGGGATCCCACTTCTGCTTTGGTGGGGAGACTGAGCGTGGGGCAGGGTGGCGGCCAGCTTCTCCTTGTCCGAGTTACGGATGTCAAAGGTGCAGGCCTTAGAACTGGTCCCTGATTCAAGTGCAAGGAGGAATCAGCATCAATGATCTGCCATTAATTAGGACTTTAAATGCAAAAAAGAGAGAGAGAGAGAGAGAAAAAAGGCACCCTGATCCTCCCCTATTCCCTCCAGAACACGTACCCCTGTTTCTCCTGCTGGTTGACGTGTAGGAAACCAAATCTGAACCGTTCCCGAAACAGCAGCCAGAATCATTAAGAAGCTGCTGTACCAGGAACTCCGTCTCCAAAGCCCTAGGCGATACGTCTGAAATGCAAACATCCCTGTGAGAGGAAAGCCTTAAACAGAGCCAAGTAGCCACCCTGCCTTCCGTTTGGGTTCCTGCGATTTCTCACGCAGATGGAGTCAGACATTCAAGAGCTTCTGTTGCTGTTGGCCACGTGACAGAAGAAGGATGACTTTATGTTTCCCCTGGGCCGTCCCATCCCACTGCCCACCCCATTTTTTCGCTTTCCCGCCCCAGCCCACGTGGTCCCGGAGGGAGAAAACGTACTTGGCCTCTCTCACCGGCGAGTCGGTCCCCCAGGTGGCTCTGCGCGGACGGACGGGCCCGACTTGGGGTGAGAGCACCACGTGCCCTCAGGAGCAGCTGCAGGAGCCTGGGCCGCGTGACCGGACGGGGAACGTGCAGACGGTTGCTCAGGAGGGGAAGGTCACCCGTCACCTTCGAGGGCCTGTGCTCCCAGGAGCCTGGCAGCCACGTGGAAGAGCCACGTCAGCACGTTCTTGGCGCTCCCTTCTCGAAGCCCCGGCCCTGCTCTGAGGAGCCTTCCCGCTACAGGCCCGGGAAGGCTTGTCACTCGCTTCGGGGCTTTGAGGTTGGTGGCTCACCCGAGGCTTTAATGTTTTCTCCAGCACAGCCTGTGCCAAGCTCGAGTTGTTCTCAAGGTTAATCAGAAGTTTGAATTCTTTTGAGTAACTTTCTCTGTAAAAACGAAGGAATGTTTACAGTGCTGCTTTTTTATTTGTTTTGAGACCTTGGTGAAGGTCAGGCTTATCCTTCGTCCTACCCCATGCCACGTAAGTCGTAAGAGGTATCTGTCAGGTCCTGGTTCCTGAGAAAGGATTTGCTGCTCCTGTCGAGATGGGGGATGGGGGGGTGGGGAAGGTCAGAGATGGGGGCGCCTGTAGCTGCTCTGCCAGAGCCCCTGCTTCACCTCACTGGACTCTTTAAAGAATTCAGAAGCGGATGGCAAACAGTAATGTCACTGGATACTTATTTAGAAATAAAAACGAATGCTGCTGAATCAGAGCCAGTTTCTGTGTTCGTGTTCAGGTGGCTTCGCAAATACATGGGACTCAGCTGTGTCACCACCTACCAAACTCGGGGGCCAGCAGCAGACGTGTCGCAGACCCTGGCCTGATTCCTGCCCCCGGCCCTTAGCGAGGACCCCGGAGGCCTAGCCTCCCGCCGGCCCACGGCTGCTCCTCCCCGCGGGGGCTAGGGACCCATCCTCCCCAGGGCTCCCTGGGCTGCCGGTCTCCTGGCGCCTGGGACAGCAGATCAGCCCCCGCGGGCCTCTGCCGGGCGGTGAAACCAGGAACACGCGGGTCCGTCCTCCAGGGTCTCGATCCACACACACAGCTGGAGGAGACTCTGTGGAAGGTGGTGGTGTTAACCTGTGGGAAGCCTGGAGCTTCCGTTTGTTTTTACCCCCCCCACCCTTCCAAAAGGCCTCCAAAGCTGCTTATGGCAACAGGCGCAGACACAAACCATGTAGTAGTGAAAGCAGGCGGGATGGCCTGTCCTGATCCCAGGCACTTCACCAGAGAGTCAAGAATGGTTTTGAACAGGGGCGCCTGGGTGGCGCAGTCGGTTAAGCGTCCGACTTCAGCCAGGTCACGATCTCGCGGTCCGGGAGTTCGAGCCCCGCATCGGGCTCTGGGCTGATGGCTCAGAGCCTGGAGCCTGTTTCCGATTCTGTGTCTTCCTCTCTCTCTGCCCCTCCCCCGTTCATGCTCTGTCTCTCTCTGTCCCAAAAATAAATAAACGTTGAAAAAAAAAAATTAAAAAAAAAAAAAAGAATGGTTTTGAACATCTTCAAGTAGTTGAAAAAAAATTCACAAGAGTATTCCATGATATGAAAATGATAGGAAATTCAAATTTCAATACCCATACAATAAAGCTTTGCATTTTTTAGTTAAAAATTCATGGGCTGGGGGATGCCTGGGAGGCTCAGTCGGTTGAGCATCCAACTTCGGCTCAGGTCATGACCTTGCTGTTCGTGGGTTCGAGCCCCGTGTCAGGCTCCGTGCTGACAGCTCAGAGCCTGGAGCCTCCTTTGGATTCTGTGTCTCCCTCTCTCTCTGCCCCTTCTCCCCGCTTGCACTCT